ATGACTCATTGTGCTAAATAGGCAGTCACCTCTTACTTTTGGTACAGCACTATTTGATTGATGTTATTTAAATAGGCAACTGCTGTAAAATTGAAAAATTTTACATGCCAGTTTGACCCATTAAAGAGCAAATAAATGTTGTTTATATTGCACGTTTGGCTAATATAAAGAACGGTAAATGCCCTAGTGTGCCTAGCTCTCTTGTGTTCATTTAGACCACACAGTGTGAGATTTGTATTAAAAAAGGCTTGTAAAAAACAGCCATTGGCCAATTTGGCTGTAAAGAAATCACATTCAGAATTGGCCATAAAAATGTATGATCAGAGCATCCCTGACTAAATCATTACACAGCTGTTAATCTCTAATAGACTTGCTTCTGTGATTTCTGACACTGTATGACATACTGTTCTTTAAAAATCTAAATAATAAAAACATTTATATTCATTATTTTTATTATATTCACTTTCACAAAGATTCTTATAATACCTAAAAATGTATTATAAATAATAACATAAAAATAGACAAATGTTCGAACAACATTCAGGCTACAAGATGACATGTACTTGTAATTTATTTATTTTTTTCACCCAGTTTTTTTAGTCACGCCCAATTCCACCTACTGTCTAAGTCTCCGCTTATCACCCAGTGTTGCTAAGCTGGGAGGGTGAAGGATGATGGGAAGGGTGAAGGCACATACAAATATTGTATGTATCCATGTAATAGTGTTTACTGTGTCTGGCCTTTTTAAGGTACAAAAAGCTATAAAGAACATGGCCACCGTATGCTGCTGATCTGGCTGCATGGTGTGTTGACCGCTGGAGAAAATCCCATTAAAAGCTTATATGAAGGCCTGATGGGAATCTCGAGGATGGATTTGGCAGGTGAGAAAGTAAATGTTCAATGGTATAGTATACACTTCGTATTGAAAAATTGCAAACAACCTGCATGACTGGTCCACCTCTCAGTGCCTACTGTTGGTCTCTGATTTGCTGTCTTTCATGAAACTCATTGTCAGCGTGCATTCTGTCTGAGCAAAGTGGGCAGTTTATTTTATTAGAGGGTGTAGCAGATGTTAGAAAAAGTTAAATTTGAGAATTTTTAGAATTCTGTAGAAACAAGACATAAAAACAGGACTGAATGGATATTCCTGGATGTGCACTTGGGCAATGGTGGCTTTGGATGGTAAAGAAAGTGATTATATTTGTGTTGTAGACATGGCGACCCCTGGTTCCTATGACCATCACTGAAAAGAAATCTGAATTGATAGGTTTCCCTAGAATAGAGCATTTGATATCACTCTGAATAACTGTTTACACCTCAATGTTTTAATTGTGAAGCAGTTTAGAAAATTAGTGGAATTCCCCTTTAACCCCCCCCGCCCCAGTTGTCACAGCTCTGCTGGCGATGCTGTGCTGCTCAGACTGGACATAGTCGAGCAGCAAAATGACAAATCTCCCTTATAGGATCATTAAAGTATAACGTATCATAAAACACATGAAATATCAAAAAATGATTTGACCCGAAACCAAAAATGTATTCAGTATTTTAATTTAATATGAATTTAGTGTTTTTTTATTAAAAATTTGTGTTGCCATTTTGAATATGTGAACTATTTCTGCTTCTTCCTCACAGAGAGCGTACGACAGCAAGCCAATGCAGACCCAAACACTCCGAAGAAATGCACTACAATGTGAAAGATGGTTCTTTAGAAGGGATTTACACTGCCTGCACCAGTGAAGAGGAGGACACCACCGTCTCGAAAATCTCTGATAGAAGGGACGAAATGTGACAAAATGAACTACAGCACAGCAAAATACAATCCAGGCACAGAAATGCAGCACAATGCCTGTCAGAATGAACTGTTGTGAGAAACATTTCCTCTAGAAAACCCGGATTTAATCAGCTTGTAAGGGCTACAACAACACTGCTCGAAGCTAACACGCTGGATCAGTTCCGTCAGACTCAAGTACTGTTACCTATGCTCCAAACAGATACAAATAAAGTCAGTATAGTAAAATAGAATTAATTTAATTTATATGCTCATACAGTCATCGTCAGACAATCAGTGGTTAGATGGATGTTGAGTAATTTTAACAGTCTTTCATGAGTTTATCTGGATCAACACTGTACTGCCAATGCAATGCACTATAAAGACATTTACTAAAAATACTCAACCTTTACATAGAATAGACGTATGTCAGATATTTCCTTTCAAGTAGATTAAATAGATCTACTGTTGTTGCACTTGAAAACAGATCTTGCGTGAACAATGCATGGCTTTATTGTATAACTGAAGAAAAGCATAATCACTTACCTTGAACTGTGATTTATAATATGTGAATGCAGAGTGAAAATGGTCATTGCTGAACAGTTTAATTGTCCATTTAAAGCTAGAATCAGGATATTCTGAGCATATTTGTTTGTCAAGAGATTTAGTTTAGTCTAAACTCATGGATGTAACTAATTAAACAGATTAAATTATGTATGTTTCTTTTTTCTGTGGCGATTAAACTTTTTTTTGGAGTATATGCACTACTCAGGTTACAGTTCATACAAATGCCCTGATTCCAGCTTTGAGGTATGTATGTATGTATGTATGTGTGTATGTATGTATTATTATTATTATTATTATTATTTAATAAGAAAAAACATATGTACTGTGTCAGAATACAGGGTCAAATAAACAGTTTGTCAAGAGATATCTGTTTCCAGCAATTTATTTATTTAAATGCCTATTATGCATAACTAATTGTAGTTCATTGTTAATATTTATTAAAGGGGAAATCCATCAATATTTCAAAAGTTCTAGATAATTGAGTGGTTGATATGTAAACAAAGAGTGGTTTGATGCAAAGTGGTTCATTGCAGAGAAACTTCAAGACTCAGATTTCTTTACAGGGGTGGCAATAGAAACCAGGGGTCAAAATAACTAATAACCAGTAGAGCCATTTTATTACAATCCAAAATCCCAGGTGAGCATATGCGTGTCTTTTGGGTTTTTATATATTATAGTGATTATGGGAAAATAGTGGTAAATCTAAAACAATAGGTTTTCTTTGGGGACACTTTTATCTTGTGTCACAACGCCTTGTGTGTACTTCTCTGCCATGAATTAGATTTTAAAAAACGCTGTAGGACAGAACTTTAGCTAAAAACTATCTTAAAACAATGTCTCAGACATCAGCCTGCATATTCCTAACCATTTCATGTGAAGGTTCCTGTCACCGCCACTGTGAACAATTCTGACTCAGTAAGTTTCTCTAGAACATAGCATTTCACACCAAACCACTCTGAATGACTTTGTTTACCTTTTTATCTTAACCATTTAATTATGCAGAAACCTTGAAATTCTTAATACTTTTAAATGGTGGTGGCATTTTTGGCTGCACACCGAATGTCTCCTAATATTCAATACACTTCTAGCTTGAATTGATGCCTGAGAAATTTAAAGGCTCATGGAAAACGCAATTATTATTATTATTTATTTATTTTTGCTTTTTGAGTTTGATATAGTATGTAAACACTGCTAATATGTTTTAAATGTATCGCTTACTCTCCAGTCCATACAGTCCACGTATGGAAACTAAACTGTAAAAATGTGACGTCATGAAAGCAAACTCATTTACATATATCCACTTATTCAGCCTACAGCAGTTTAGCCCCTCCAATTCATGCTGAAGTTATAAAGAGTGTTTCAGGCTGGAAAACTTTTTGGAATCTTTGCAACATCGCCGGGCAGTTATTTCCGGCCATAGAAGACCAGACTCCTCTGTTTTTGAATGGGAGAGACCAAAACACTTAAAACAGACAAAATGAATGTTTAAAAGTATATTTAAAATCACTGGATCGTTTTCTTGAAGGGCGGGAATTTCTCCGCGAACAGATGCTATGTTTAGCGTTATGTTCACATTTAACCAGTGGCTGTGATGAGGCACAGTACACGACAGCCAATCAGAAAAGAGCTCATTTACATATATCAGTCGTAAAGGCAGAGCAACAAAGAAAACTCTTTAATTGTAAGAGATGAAGAGAGGCTGAAAATGACTAAAAATTAATCATGACTGTTTTGATATATAAAACCACACAAACTTTAAAAGTGGAATTCAAGGGAAAAATAAAATGAAAGAAAAATGTAGGATACAGGACCTTAAGCACTTCAGCAGCTCAGACAAAAAAAAAAAACCTTTATTCCAGTGCTCAGCAACAGGTGGCTCTTTTACTGCCCTGTTGCAGCTCCACAGCAGGATAAAATTTTTAGGTAAAAATAAAATAATCCTCCTTTGCAGTAAAATAAAGCTCTGCTGATCATTCGACACAGTTTAACAATAAATGGTGTTAAACGCCGGTGTTAACGTATAACTGCTAATTGACCCTTTAACCCTGAAGGTTGGTGCGCAGACTGCTGGTCACTATAGCAACACAGACAACAGTCTCTCCTGGCTAGTAGCTAACGAAAAGGCAAAGAGAAAGATTTAAGACAGGCACCATTTAAAGTGGAACGGGAAATTTCGAATGAGAAGTTGACTTCAGCCTTGTAAAAAGTCGAAAGTTTAGACATTTCACAAAAAGCTTTTACTTTTTGCGTTTCCTGCCGGACACACAAGAAAAGTGGTTATAGCTGAGCTAAAGTTTTAAACAGAACAAACGCTGTGCCTCCCAGATGGTTAGATTTTTGTTGAAACTTGACAAAATGGCTCTTCTTAATATTTGGGTTGCCGACCTCTGCTTTATTCCATTCGACTGGCCTGCAGGATTTAGAGACTGGTGGGTGGGCTTAGTCACTCAGAAATCACTCAATAGCTCAATGATTCAGTCAAAAAAGTACTATATATATATATATAATTAAATTCATCAGTACACACATTTCCAAAAATGTTCAACCTTGTGACATTTGTAAGTTATACTTTTAATCAGTGCGTGAGTTACAAAAACTTTCAAAAAGAAAAAAAAAACGGAAAAAGCTGAAATGGATGAAAAAGAAAGACAACAAGAAGTGCAAACCAGATCAGACGCAAGATATTTATAACACATAAGGCAGCAAGTTCAAAACGGCATCCTGTGAAATTGGCTTTGACCAAGTACCTAATCGAAAATTATTTACACTCATAATACAATATCAAAATATCATTTCTGTAAAGTAAAAATAAGCTCTTATAGTCCACTGTTTTGATTGAATCCATTGTAGAAAACCATGAGACCCAAGGGTGAGCTCTCTGGCAGGTGGTTAGTAACGCCACTGAATACTTCTGCAGTTGGCCCAATGTAGCTATTCTCATGACTCATCATCGCTCTCTCTGCAGTTGTTCAGGCTGCTCTGCTGGACTTCAAGTTCCTCTGCACTAACCATAGCTGGGTTGATGGCAGCGTACCTCGTCCCATGGAATTGTCTCAGATGTATCTGCAGCCAAATAACATGACAGTTTATGGTGTATTCATTATTTCTTTTTTTCCTTTTTCCCATTTTTCTTCAGTGTAGACGTATCCAATTCCACCCACTAGTTAGAACTCCCCCAATCACACAATACCACGAGCGCTAGGAGGTGAAGGCTAGCACAGGCTTCCTCTGAGACCTGTGAAGCATCACTGCATCTTTTCGAACGGCAACCAATTTAACATAATTGGACATCTGAACGCACTCGCCAGCCAACCGCCAGTTCCGTTACATCAGCTAACAGACACCTGCGCTACCTAGCATCTTGCTGGGCGATGGGGGGCCATCCTGCCCACCCAGAGAGAGTGAGGTCAATTGTGCTCTCTTAGACTCCCAGCCTGATGGCTGTAGCACCAACAGGGATCAAACTCGCGATCTCCTGATGACAGGGTCTACGTTTAGATGGCTGTGCCACTTGTGAGCCTGCATATTCATTATTTTAAGCAGAGTGCAGGCCTTTATATTGCGGTTGAAACAATACCCCATCTCCAAAATAGTGAAGTTGCAGGAAAGGGACAAAAACGTTCCTACCTTTTGATTTAAATTAATGTACTGAGATTATTTTTCTGAATTTCTAGTAATTCTGGACTATTTCTGTTGGTCCATTCATCATGAAATACATAAAATACACAACAGTATTTTCAAATGATGTTTTAGAGAAGAAAAAGAAACTCACTTGAATGTAAAGGTTCACTTCGGCGCTTCTGCAAAGGTAAGGGAAGTTTCCGCCAGTTTTGAGATGAGCCCTTCTTGCATTGGGGTACAGCTTATACATTTCCTCCTTTGCCTCATTGGAAAGAGCACTCTGATCAAAAACCTGCAGCAAAAATCATGAAACATTTAAACAAAATATAATAGCAACTACAATTATAAAGTTAACTAATTCAATGTTACAAATGACAAAACATACATCCATTATGGTGACTGCAACGTCCTTTATTTTGTGAGGTTCGACGTAGGAGTTCTGGCAGTTCAGGGTGAGCCTAGAGGCCAGTTCACTCTGGTTCAGGGTCTCCAGCTAAAACACAAAGACAGCACTTTGTTAGCCAGTCAATGAGAAATGAGACAAATTTGCTTCAAAGCCTTAGAACAACAGTTCCTTTCCCAAAAATATTTTGTCTATCCACCTTTAAAGGACCACAGGGTAAAACATTAAGAACATTTATATAATACTAAAGTTTAATGCTCTATTAAACATCCAGCAAAGAACGAATGAAGAATCGGACGACAGGCAGATGAACTAGCTTGAAAGGTCAGTCATGCATGTTAGGTTAGCATTCGCTTGGTTGAACACATAGTGATGTCAAAGCTGTGTGGGTGGGACAAGCCATATCAGTCTTTTGATTTTCTAGTCCAAGACTAGGACCACCCATTTTACACATAAAGGGGAGTTGTGTGGAGAAATACATCGGTCATTTACTGGGCACTAGAACATTATTCAGAGGGCAGACTTTGTAACATGTGTATTGTGTGCCCACAAGAGCAAGATTAGGTTAACTCCGGCTTTAACATCGAGGTATAATTATAACAGTCCCTCCAGGAATTTGCGATCAGAACTTCATGCAATTCACTCAACCCTAGCAATGTTTGCAAGGGCTTGCAACTGCTGCATTATTTCAGTATCAACTGGGTAAACTGTATACATGCTTTCACAGTTATTATAAAAGTGTGCATCTTTTGTGCTATATGCCAGAAAGCCATGGATAATCACATTTGCAAACTAGTACGTCAGCCTTTTCACACTAAAACAGGTTGGAAACTGTTTTGTATGGCATGCAACATTGTTGTAGACCACAAATAAAAGTTGATAATTGTCACTTTTCATCGTATGCTAACAATTTTAAATGTTTTGTTCACTTTTACAGCTTTCTGGAGTGATAATGTTCTTTGTTGCAAAGAACACAGTCAACAATCCTAGAGTCCAGAATCACACAGTGCTACTGGAGGTTCTACCAATATAAGACTGAGAGCATGTATGTTCTCGTTTCTCAGAGGTACACTTCATTTCCAATTTGTTTCTCCCTTGTTTCACAAACTAAGCTATATTCAAAACAAGCTAAACAAATATCAAACAGCACAAATGTCTACAGTTTTACTGCAACTTTCAATGTAGTAAACATGTATACTTTTGTGCAATATCTATCTTATGAGCCTGAATTATAATGGACCACATAAGCTTGAAAACACATGAATTCAATATACAACCTCGCTGCAAAGCAGTCCTTTTCATGCAACAGTGCAATATTTGTTTCAGACCTCTGATGAAGCTCTTGCTCACATTCTGCACAATGACTTTTCACTGGTGTATCTATTTGAGCTTCTCTTTCCTTGAACGAGATCATTGTCACTCTCAGCTACACCGAAACGTAAACAACTAGTACAAACTGAAAGCATGAACATGAAATACTCACTCTGTCGACCATAAAGTCAATAGCATCTGCCATTTTGGGATCAACAGGTCCTTTGGCAAAGTTACCGAGAACAATCTTCTTAAGCATAAAGGCCGGCATCAGCCAGAAACTGAAAAAGAACATCTGAAAGTGAGAAAACCTGAGGTTTTCATGAAAAGAGACTTGTGTCGAATGTATTAAATGCAAATTCCTACCTGTTGGCCGTCCACGTTTGGTTGAAAATGGACGTGTCGCTGAATGAATTGCAGAGGATCAGAGAATGCACTCGAGGTGATTTGTGAGTCACCTCTGCAAATTTCTGAGCCAGAAATCCTCCCAGGGAAGCGCCAAATAAGTGCACCTAGTAATGAAGGAATGGGGTGAGTATACTTGTTTCGATTGTCAGGAGGTTCTCTGATTAAAAAAAGGCACATCTGCCAAACCTTGTCCAGTTGCAAGTGGTCTAAAAGTTTCCTAAACCCATCACAAAATTCCAATAGGTCCCAATAGACAGGATACTGGAGCTGCAAGAGAGATAAAAGGAGTAAATGAGCGAGTTGAGTTTCTACCATAACCTTATGCACACAGTCAAGATGTAATCTGCAAGAGGAATCAGACCGACTGAGGACTTTTGTGCCTTCGATGAGCATGTGATTTACATAAATTAACATGATCTGAACCATATTCAACTATACAGTCAAATTTTTACATTCTTTCAAGCAGATGTGGAGTCAAACATTATCTATTTAATACCAACAGCTAATCTATAAAACGCAGTCTATCTGAAAGTACAATGGAAAGTAAGTCGGAAATGGTATAACGTCTTTTTTTTAATCAGGTTCTCACTTTGACAAGTGTTACTTTCTTTTTAGCAGTTTGTTGCTAGCAAAAAGTACCACACTTACAACTTCAGTAGTATTCACAAAATGCTTGCTTAAAGCTGCCAAACAAACCTCAGGCTGGTCACGCACACCAATTTACCTCATACGTGAGATGCTGTGAAGGTTCAATGTGACTGTGTCTTAGCACAATTCAAATAGTTGAAAACGTATTGTTCTCTTTCTCTAAAAAGATGGTAGATGTTAAACAGGCATTCTTGCCTCAAACTACCATTTAATGTTATTCGTCATGTTATGTAATATTCTGAAGCGCAGCATTGCACCCTCAGCTTCATCAGTTGAACAGAATTCAGTCTCACTTTAATTGGATAGTCCACTTTAGTCACTTTAGTTTAGTTTATAGATTATCTACAGTGGTTCAAATTGTTAACAAACTATCTGTTGAAACTCAGTAGATTCTAAACAGTGGTGGGGTTAGGGTTAGGATTTGGACCAGGGTTAGGGCTAGGAGCAGTGTGAGGGTTGGGTTTAGGTTTTGGGTTGAAATTAAGGTTAGGGTTAGAATTAAAGCCAGGTTTACAGTTAAAAGTCCTCCCCCCTTCAAGACACATCATCTAGTCTTTAAAATAGAAAATCTCACTCTATTACGGCACCATTGTAGGATATAAGTAGGCCTGTTTACAATATAGCACTGGATACATTAGTTTTTTTGGTCACAGTGCCCTTTTAAGGATGTCATTCAATATGCATTGCGTCTTACGTGACAGTGCCTAACTTGGTTGTTACAGAGCCCCATCTGTTTCCTGTGTTTTGTCTTCTTTTCATGTTAGAGTCCTACGGTAACCATGAGCAGGTAAGCAGTGACGGTAACTTTTTAAATGTGATTTCCACTTATAAAGCACAAACAATGCACCAGGAACCCCACTACAAACCTGGAAAGACAGTACTGGAAGTGAAACAGCTCTCCATTAAAGTCTTTGAAACTATTTAAACAGTTGCTTCTTGACACTCAAACTGCTGTGAAAATTTTTATGTTCGTGCATCAGACATAACAACAGCGTGTATTCGGGTTCTGAAAACTGTTTTAATGCCATTTAAATGTAATTCATGCACAAATGTGCAGAGGCTATATACACCAAAATAAAAACGCACCCCAAAGGAACACATATACATATGTCAGTATAGCCATATGCAAAAGTTTCGGCACCCCTGCTCAAATTATGTTTTGTTGATTTAAGTGAAAATAAGTTAACACATCCTCTACAGAAAACACACTACTGCTCATTCTAATGCACAGTTACTGTTTATTTGAATTTAATATAATGGAAAACAAATAAAACATAAAATGTGGCCTGTGCAAAAGTTATGACATATTATATATTGTATGTTTTATTTTCTCCCCATGTTTTAAACTGAGCAAATAAATAACTGTGCATGTTCTCTGTAGAGGATGTGTTAACTTATGTTCAGACTTTTGCACATTGACCGTATGCTAGCTTAAACAGCATGGAACAACATGTTTTAACAGCACCACTACTTTAATGCACGGCACGGCCACATAATGTGAATTTAAAACAATTTGATATTTAATTAAGGCTTTTAATTTGTAAAATATAATTCCAGGCAAATTTAGACTATTTAAGGACTCTCATACGCCCTGAAGAATGGTTGCAGCTTACCGAAATGACCCGATAGCCCCAGCCAGTGAGCGCCAAAATCTGGTGAAAGAAAACCTCTGCTGTGCCGCTCACAGGAGGAAGGAAGATGATCGGGCACCTGATGGTCTTCGGCCCAGCGTCGTACAGTGACCACACTTTGCTGTCGTCATCATCCACAATAATCTGAAATCAGGAAACGTGGCACAGTGTCACAAGTACAGCAGCCCACTCTAAGTCACATTCCTGAAGGTGCTGGATCACAAGGCTATCACATGGCACAAATCATGAAACGATGGAGCGACTTAAGAAGCCGTGAAGTAACAGCTATGCAACATCACACTCAAACAAAACACAAAAATCAAGCGTAAATGTGAAAATGAACAATCAGTTCATGCAACCTGACCCAGTTATAGTATAATAAATTGTATAAAGACAAGCTTACTCGTTTCAGGGGCACAGTGCTTCGAAACCAGTTGTAGTCAGGAGACACTCTTATCTCCTCCATTTCTAAAAGAAACAGAATCAATTTACAAGTTAGGAAGCAAGCTGGCTACTCTGAATTTTACAGAAGAACAAGAAGTTCTTCGGTAGTTTCTGTGGTAATTCTTAGTGAAAGTAGGTTCCTTGTAAGAAGCACCGCAGCTCTCCTTACAAACAAACAAGGATGAAAAGTGTTGGAATGTTGGCTGCTGTGGCCACGAGACGTTCTCAAACTAAAGCAAAGCAGGTACTGCAAAACTGTAGGGAATATTAAGGGAATATTTCAAAAAATCACTTTCAAAATACATTTTTTAAGAATTTAAGCCTAAGAGCCACCTGTGAAGCTAAAAGTGAGGCCTGTGCTGACACTACAACTACTGAGTAACACATTTACTGACTTGGTACACCGAAAAAATAATCAGATGTACACGTTTTCCCTCTTACCATAAAATGTAGCTGATCAGTAAAGACATGTTTGGGTCTTTAGTTTTTGCACTAGATCTACACAGCTAATGTAGCCAAAAACTAATGGATGTCTTTTGACATTAACATGTCTTTGCTAAATGGCTACATTTGAGGTAAAGGGACACCTCAGTAAAATTGTATTTTTGGTGAGCCATTCCTTTACGTGTCAAATATCTTCATGTTTTATGTAACAAATCTTTTAAAGCTTTTATTGTACAACACAGCCCCTACAGTGGTGGAGCTCATTGGGTTCCTTTCAGTGGAGAACAATGATTTGTTCATCCAGGAATAGAAAGAAGCTGGACACACAGCCTTTTACAAAGCTAAAACTTGGTGTTAATGAGGGATCACGTGATCACGTGGCTGAAATTAGTTTCTCAATTTGAATTTTCTGTTCCACCTTAAATGGTGCAGCAGTTCCACTCTGGCGCCTGTTATATTGTTACATAGATAAGTAAGTAGCCGTCAGACTGGAACTGCTGCCCTACTTAAGGTGGACCAGAAAATTCGAATACGAAGCCTAACGTCGCTTCACCATCCCACACACTAAATAATACCCCACAGAAATAACGACAATAACACAAACAGCAGAAGCTAAACGACATCGCTGACCACCTACTCCTGACGAGGCTTAAGTTGGCTTCCTATTCGCCAGCTTCTTGGTCGAATTTCCCCGTTCCACCTTAAATGGTGCAGCAGTTATTGTAGCATTTAAGGTGGAACGAGAAAATTCGAACAAGAAGCTGGCGAATAAGACTTCAGCTTCGTCATCTATGAAGATTGAAAACAGTCACGGAAAAGCTTTAAAGGCTTTTGCTACACAAAAGCGATCTATAACAGTTAATATTCCAGCGTTTGCTCCAGATTTGTTTTACCTTTTGTGGAGACTTCAGCCTCGGATCAGCAGCATTTTAGCAACAAACCTGAAAGTCATATGACAGCGAGTTCCGCATCTTACACACGGGCTCCGCTATACGCATGCGCCGTATAGTCACCACACCGTGAGGCGGTGAAGATAAAATGTTTACGATGACAAATATACAAATTGGTTATGCACACACTTTTACTGTCACTTTATAGTTGAAGCTTATTTATTTATTTATTTATTTATTACTTCAAACAACCCTTATTTAAAAATTTTGCCCAGGATACACTATAGTTAAAACAATGGCTGCGTCTCAAACCGCGTACTATCACACTAAATAGTATGTCTAAATACTATGTCAAAAATACACCACCCTTAGAAGTGCATTAATTAACTTACACACTTAAAAAAGATGGTTCTTCAAGGGTTCTTTAGTAAAACCAATGGTTCTGTTTAGAACCATTACTTCTATATAGAACGATTTCATGCTTAAATTGTTCTTCGACTAATGAAGAATGTGTTGTATATGGTTCTATATACATCCTTTTTGAAAATGGTTCTGTATATCACCAAAAAGGTTCTGCTATTGTTATGATTTCAAGCTTGAAACAATAGCAACAACTCTTTTTCGGTGCTACATAGAACCATTTTAAAAAAGCATACATGCATTCTGAGTTTTTAAATGTAATGTTGATGATGGTAAAACAGTCATAAATCTGAAAGAAATAAGTTTTGGGAACTATTTTGCCTCACAACACTCTGCATGACCCCTCTGCCATGGAGAGATTAAAATAAATGGATTAGAATACATTTTAGGCCAAACCTTCATCACAAACCTATCATAAAACAATGTGTCACATATCAGGCTGCATATATCTAACAATTTTATGTAGTAATTTTCTGTGAAGGAGGCTTTAAACTCTTCAGATGTCTGGTTCCTATCACTACCACTGTGAACAATTCTGACTCTCTAGAACAGAGCATTTCACACCAAACCACTCTGAATGACTTTATTTGCAGCTCAACCAGTTAATTATGTCAATTTTTTTTGAAACATTGGTCCTTTTAAGTTCCCCTTTAAACTTGAATTGGCTCTAAATAGAACCATTGGCTTTATTAAACAACCCTTGAAGAACCATCTTTTTAAGTGTGTAGTATAATCAGTGTGGTTGTATGTGGTTTGAGACGCAGCCAATCACAGCCAGTGCGTAAGACCTTGTACGCTCCAACAAGCTATCGTCATGCTTTTCTGACCACAACCAACAGCAGCTCAGCTAACCCAGCTAACCTTTCCGACTCGGTTAGCCACTTAGCTTAGCCTACTTTAGCTTAGCTTAGCGTAGCTCGGCTCTGCCCTGTCCCCGGGAGCAGGCTGCGGTTAGCTTCGTTTCTCCATGGACGTTTCCTAAAACAACTTGTGATATTTTCGTGTTCACCGCATCAGACTAAGGAGGGCAGCAGCGGACCTGCAGTTTTACCATTAGCAGCTGTCTTAACGTTAGCTTACCAGCTAACTGAATGGTAATGGTATACAGCTGGTTAGCCGGTTAGAAATCTGTTATTTTATTCTGGATATTTCACTGGTTAGCTGACCTAGCTGCCTTCCTTATTGTCCAGCTGCACAAGAAGTAAGCTAAGCCGCGAAATCATGTCTTGTGCCTGCACTTCAGCGGCGAGACTGATCATAAATTCAGCACATAAAGGTGAGACATGTTTATTATGTTGTTGTACAGCTCTAACTTTAGCTTAGCTTAGCTTAGCACTGAGCTAGACTGATAGCTGGCTGGTCAGTAGAAGTTAACTTTTGTCGGGTTGGACGACGAGAAAAATATTTCAAACACAGTAGACGAGCTTCTAAGGAACTGTTAAGTTTTTGTAAACCAATGTTTTAGCAAAAAAACTGGAGTTAGCAACCTGACAGCCGTTAGCATGATGAGTAACGTTACACACTTAAAAAAAGATGGTTCTTAAAGCTTTTTTAGTAAGGGGGATGTCTCTACTTAGAACTATGAGTTCTGCATAGAGCCATTTGATAGATGAATGGCTCTTTGCGTGGTAAAATGGTCCTTCAGATTGATGGAGAATGTGTTGTACGTAACCTAGCTAAGTCAGTTCTATATGGAGTTGTTTTGAAAATGGTTCTATTTAGCACCAAAAAGGTTCTTCTGCTGTTGCAAGGTTGACAGCAACATTTTTTTGGTGGTATATAGAAGCATTTTCAGAAAGGTTTTGTATAGGTAGAACCATAGACAGCATGTTCTCCATTAATCTGAATAACCATTTCACCATGCAGAGAACCATTTAAGCAATAAATAGTTTCATGTTGAACTCAGGGTTCTAAATAGAACCATTTCCCTTACTAACCTAAGAGTGTGATACAAGTACACTGTATTTAGTCACATTGTTTTGACAGTCCTTGTGGTTTGAGGTTAAATATAGTCTGTACATTTGATCTCAGGTTTTAGCTGATGTTAACAGGGGCCATTAGTGTTATTATGATTACAGTGAGATTAAAGTGACAGTTTCCTCTTTTTGCTCAGGAATCTCTGGCTCAAGATTACAGCTGCTCACTCTGAGTCGAGCAGGATGTCATGAAATTCGTCTGAGCCGTAATGTCCCTGTCAGACCCTTCTCAGAGACATCTGTGTTCTATGCATCTAAAGATGGGATAAAAGATGGAGATGGTGGAAAGGTAACCTTTTTTTTAATCATTTTTTCTGTTTTTTTTTTTTCTTTATGCATCCCTTTCTTTTTATGCTGATCTTTCATTTTTTTTAATGCCACTGTTAACAAGGAAGTGTAAAGGGAAGTAACACACACCTCCTTTGTTTTGCTCCTTTTTCTTCTCAGAAGTCTGTGAGTGAAGGAAGTGGGAAAAGATCCGGCTCGGGCAACTCGGGGAAAGGTGGAAGTCAGCTTCGCTGCCCTAAATGCGGAGATCCCTGCACACACGTGGAAACCTTTGTCTGTGAGTGCTGTGTTTGTATTTGAGCTGTGTATCGACTCACACTGTATGTCCAAGAGTTTGTAGACACCTGCTCATCCAGCATTTTCTTCTGAAATCATAGGTATTGATAGGGAGTTTTATTGCCCCACCTTTGCTGCAGTTACAGCCTCTACTTTTCTGGGGAGACTTAACATTGGATGGTGAAACAGTGCTGTGAGGATTTGATTGCTTTCAGCCACAAGAGCATTAGTAATGTCAGGTACAGATGTTGGATGATTAGTTCTGGATCAAAAATTTCACTCCAACTTGTTCCTTAGGTATTAAATGGGCTTTATACCCCTCTAGCTGTCGCTTGGCATTGGGCCTGGTAACCTTAGGCTCATGTGCAGCTTCTGTCCCATTCTGTTAGAAATGCTTTTCTATGGAGATTATACAAAGTGTGTGTGTGTGTGTGTGTGTGTGTGTGTGTGTGTGTGTGTGTGTAGTTGAACACTTGCGTCAGCAGTGGGAACATCTTTAAGTAGCTGAATAGCTGAATTCTCTAATTAGAAGGAGCATCTGGACTAGGGGAGGGCGATATGGCAATGTTTGATATCGCAATGATATCACAACTTCATGATACATGATTGTGTATCAAAATATTTAGTTTTTCTGAATTATGATACATTGGAACAGATAAAAAGGCACTAGTACTGAGTACAGTGATTGTTTTTTATTGAACATTTCAAATACTGTTTATTTATATATTATGCAGTTCTTGTAATAAAACGTTGCTCTGAAAAGCATGTTGTGATGCAGCTGATCACAGTAGTGATAAAGTATTATTATATTGTTTACTTCTTGTTCAGTACTTTTGGACTTATAGTATATCTATATTTGATCTACAAAAGATAATTATTCAAGGGCTCTTTAGAAAAGATAATTGTTCTATATAGAAGCATGAACATTTAAAGAACCTGCTGAATGGTTTACTTGCATCGTTGAAAGGTTAATGGGGAATGTGCTGTATATGGATCTATTTAGAACATTTTTGAAAAGGGTTCTGTATAGCATCCAGAAGGGTTCTTCTATTGTTATGTGCTTGACATCTTCACAATAGAAGAACGCTTTTGGGTGCTACATAAAACCCTTTTCAAAAAGGTTCTACTACACATTCTCCATCAATCTGAAGTGTTCATGGTTCTATTTAGATCCATTTTCTGTACTAAACAACTTGAAGAACCATCTTTTTTTAAGTATACAGTAAATGGTGTTGCTACAGGTTATTAAAGCTTTCCTCTGACCCTCATGCCTCAAAGTTACTGTGTCAGTTGGCCTTCTGGACAGTTTGTCCATGTGCAATGTTAGTCTGTACAATGGACAAACTGTTTTGAAACTAAAAATAAACTGCTTGCATAACTACAGGCCACTTCTTCCAGTGGTGGCGTTCATTCAGTAGTTCTCTCAACCTCCGCCAGCACTGAGGCTACTTCTCTGCTCTTGAGTTGAGATTTCTGGAAAGCATTGAACCGGACAGATGCTATGTTACACAGCCACTGTCCCACTGAACACCAATTTTACTGCTTTTAGAAATATAATGACAACTTTCCAACCGGCTGCTTTCTGCCTTTCTACTACAAAAGAGTCTTTATGCTAGGTGTGGATAAGATGAGAAAAAAAATATAATAGGATACATGATAATTACGTTTTCTGTGGTTTGATACGTTGGAACAGACAAGAAAGAACCAGTCGCATGAAAAATACTAGCAAAAACAGCAGCTTTTATTCAGCGCACTAAACGCAATTAAACAGGCCTAATTATGCTCCCTTTATAATGATCCGTGTAGTTGGTCAGTGTTTTTATAGTGCTCAAAAACATTCTTCTGTAATTTATTTTTGTACATTTTGTATGTCCCAGAAATTGTCGTAATTTATTTTACATGACCATTTTCCAGTCTCTCTTTATCCTTTGTAATTAATCAGGCTGTTTTTGTTGCTGTTCTTTTAAGACTGACATAAATGAGTTCTGTCCTGCTTGGCTGTTCTTTATTGTTCCTCCTTCAAAAAGCTGTCTCAGCTAAAACGCTACTTAGAATTTTAATTTGAATGGGCGGAGCTAAACTGTTGTAGGCTTAATAGGTGGATAAATGATAAATGCAAATGAGTTGGTCATATCACATTGAGTTCAAAACAAGCTGTTTTTGCAGCAGAGTTTCCATATGTGGACCGTATGGACTGGATAGTGAATAGTTGTTTTGAAACTTTAAACAAGGTTTACATATTATGACACTCTTATATTTTACAATGGAATGGAAATTAGTTTTTACATGATATGGGCCCTAAAAAGCACTAACAGTTCCCACAATATGCTTAGAAAAGCATATTAAGATAAGATACTGTGATGTAATGTGAGAGAGTTTATGATAATGATAAATTACAACTTGCACCACTTACTTATGCTCCAGTAAAGAGTTTGACTAGTATCTCTCTAGGAATTCAGATATCGCATCTTCAAAGAACACTGAAGTAAACTGAGCTGGTATTTAGGTTGGTACCTGTTAGCATATAAGGCATGTATCTTCTGAAATTAGTAGCTTTCTATGATTAACTGATGATGCTATGTTTCTTTTTCAGCCTCAACTAGGTTTGTCAAATGTGAAAAATGCCATCACTTTTTCGTGGTGCTGTCGGAAACAGACACGAAGAAAAGTCTGAATAAAGACCCAGAATCAGCTGCTGAAGCTGTGAAGTTGGCCTTCCAACAGAAACCACCACCACCTCCCAAGAAGGTACTGATTCATAATGAGATCTTTCATGTCTCCAATTGTAAAGCTGATAGGAGCACTCTCCTCAAAAGTAGTTAATACTATCTTAATAAAATCTTGTGGCAACCAGTTTGCATTATTGTCCTTGTGTAATGCTAACCGGTGCATCTTAGCCTAGTTTGCTATTAAAGCAATAAACATTTTCTGAGTGAAGTTTTTCCAGATCAGTGAATGGATTGATTTGGACTGAAAACCTGTTTTGAGATGTGCCTCTTTTTTACCCCCCTAAATTAGATCTACACCTACCTTGATAAGTATGTTGTAGGCCAGGCCCATGCGAAGAAGGTGCTGTCAGTGGCTGTGTACAACCACTACAAGCGGATTTACAACAACATGCCGGCAGGTTCCAGACAGCAGCAGGTGGAGGTGGAGAAGCAGGGCTCCCTCACACCCCGAGGTTTGTGGCTAACACATGCTGATGTATAAAACATAAATGACTGGATTTCAAAGGAATGCTCCAGCATGTTAATTTTAATGTAACCTCTATCTGCGGCATTTGTACTTCATGGTCCTTTACTACAGACAATAATTTTGACATTGAAGTCATAGTAAGTGTCCCTGTACTTAAGAAAGAATTTAAGGTAATGAGCAACTGCTGACGCACCTTCCCTCTAGCGTCTGGTCTGTTTTTCTGCAGCTGGTTGTTTGTTTTTTCTAAGTAAAAAGAAATGCTGTGGTAGTCAATATAGCTGCAGTTATTAGAGCCTAGGTTGAAAAACACTAGAGCATTCCTTTGAGGTCAGGATGTCCCTGGCAAGGTTGCTAGTTTGTTTATTAACTGCACCACACATTTCAAGGGTCTGATAAATCACTTGGTCACTTCCATGTTTGACCAGATTTGATATAAGCTTTGTGACTGGTCTTTTTGCCGTGGTTTGTAGCTGGTTAGAAGATAAAAAGACCCACTGAGTAGGATTGTTGTAATAGTGGGCCAAGAGCTTTTAGTAGTGAAACTGCCAAAACATAGCATGAACAGCATGAATATGTAGCCATAGTGCTCTGTACAATGACTCTCAGTCTGATTGGCCTAAAGGTCTGCTGAATGTGGCCCTATTTTTTGTTATAATTATTTGCAGATAGCATATAAAACACATCTTAGCCATTGTTATATCTTGTGTTGCTCCTAACTGGCTACATTTTATTTCTACTGACATATTTATTGACCCATTTCTCCCTTTCAGGAACCTTCAGTACATGTTGTGATTTGGCATTTGTACAATATTTAAAAAGATTTTATAAGCTGTGCTGCACAAGAAAGTTTAGTTCATCAGAGTAAAATGTGTTGTGCTTAACGGTAGTGATGTCATTATAAGTCTTTGTCATTGTAACTTTTCCTGTAGAGCTAGAGCTAAGACGTCGGGAGGATGAGTACAGATTCACAAGTAAGTGTGTGTTAATGCCCATAATTTTTTTATGTGTATATATATTTTTCCTTATGCTTCCTATAATTTATCCAAACCTGCAGGAAAAATGATTCCCTTCATTTTTTTGTTTCTTTTAATTTGGTTATTTGGTTTGGTTCATGAGTTGCTTTGTTGTACAAATGCCAAAGAACTGTGTCCATATGTGGTTGTCTGTCTTTCGTTTCCTTTCATTTCCATTCATTTCCATTCATTTCCATTGTTGATCTGTGGTAGTAGGGTGGTGAATAGATGATTGGTTGAGTTTTCAGAGTTACATAAGTAGAAATGCGTTTGAAAGACAGTGGGCTCCTGGCCCATCAGCTCCAATTTCTCAGCCAAGCATGGTAAGAGTAAGAGTCCTAGTAACCTCGTTTGACTCTGGCTTTGGAGGTGTTATGCAACCCTTTATCAACGTCAGCGCAAAGGACATGCATTTCTAAATGAACTCGCTCGGGAAGTTCCAAAGTGTTCCTATGATCACGTCACCAGGAAACATCTATACAAGAGAAGTATTGTTTGTAGCTGACAAAAAACAGTGATGTTAACTGTTTCAAAATTGCTGTGTATTTGTTTTTTTTTTTGTTTTTTGTTTTTTTGGTACTTGTTTCACTTCCGAGGACGTTTAGACAGCTTCTTTAGATTATTTGAGAGATTTCAGGACATTCCTGATGTTCTCTTGCACAATTAGTGTTTGCTTTTTTGTTGCCACTGTCTAATCATTAACTGTTGTTTTATCTGTATTATTTTTCTGTATTTCTTCCCTTCACTCATCAGACACTTTCATTCAGTTGATGTTTGCGGTGCTTCTTGTGACAGGAAATCCCTTTAGATCCCCTCTCTGGTTCAGTCATGCTGGCCAAGCAGCATTCAGTCCCTGCTGTTGTTCATTTGAAAGAAAGCAGCAACAAAAGCTTTTGTCTGTTGCTAGTAAACCAGTTGAAAAAGTGCCCAAGCGTAATTATTCTAGAGGGCCAAAAAGTTATCTGAGCCCAGGGGTTCAATTGCCCAATTTCTTTGTAGACTATCCCTGTGTAAAAAAAAGTTGTATAGTTTATCTATCTGTAATTTGGTACTCAAATTATATCTATCACAACTATCACATCACTGTCAAATAGCATGTAGTTGGCCAAATAACAGATCACACTGCAGTCCAGAATGAAGACTTAAATTATGTAGTAATGGCTGATGCTGCCTGTACAATCATTTTTCCAAAAAAGTTAGGACAGTGTGCGAAATGTAACCAAAACCAGAATGCAATGATCTGCATATTGTTTAAAGCCTGTATTAAATTGAAAATCGTTCAAAGACAATATAACAGATGTTGAAAATGATGCACATTTTGAATTTGATACAAGAAAGTTGGGACAGGGGCATGTTTACCACTGTGTTGCCTCACCTCTTCTTTTACCAACACTCGAAGTGTTTGGGAACTTAGGAGACCAATTGCTGAAGTTTTGATAGTGAATTGTTTTCCCATTCTTGTTTGACATGGGATTTCAGCTGCTGAGTTTTTCATTTCGTAATGTGCCTAATGTTTTAGTGGGTGGCGTGCAGGCCAGTTGGACTCTATACAAAACCTGTATACTTATCATTAAACATTAATGGTGCCTTCAGTGGTGCCTTAAATGAGCTTTGGCCCAGAGAAGGCGGCGGCATTTCTGAATCCTGTTTATGTATAATTCCTTCTTGGCATTGTAGAGTTTAGTGTGTGTTTTAAATGTTATGTACCGTAGATCATGAAAAGCAAAAGTTCTTTGCTATTTTATGCTGAGAAACGTTATTCTTGAATTGTTGCGCTATTTGCCTGCTGCGCAGTCTTTCACAGAGTGGTGAACCCCTCCTCATCTTTACTTCTGAAACACTCAACCTCCCTGAGATGCTCTTTTTTTTTATACCTAGTCATGTTGCTGACCTGTTGCCAATCAACCTGTTTTTTTTTTGTTTTTGTTTTTTTTTACACAACTTTACCACTCTTTTGCTGCCCCCATCCCAATTATTTTGAAACATGTTGCTGGCATCAAATTCAAAATGGACATATATTTTCAAAAAACAATACAATTTCTCAGTTTCAACATTTGATATGTTGTCTTTGTACTATTTTCAATTAAATATAGGGTGTAAATGATGTGCACATCCTTGCTCTCTGTTTTTATTTACGTTTTTGCACAGCGTACCAATTTGTTTTGGAAATGAGGTTGTACTGTCCTCAAAGTGATTTAAAAACTCCTGTCATAATTGAGTAGCATGTGATTTATCACCATAAGATTTTATCAGCACTCCACAATGTTTGCAAGTACCTAACATTGAAAAAGTCCATCCTTTGGTTGAACGTACATTCAGGTAATGCTGTTCTCTGAAGATTCTGTGTAAACCACCTTGCCTAGTCTTGTCTTTCTATTGTGCTTGTTTCAGAGCTGCTGCAGATTGCGGGGATCAGCCCCCATGGTAACGCTTTGGGAGCCTCCATGCAGCAGCAGGTGAACCAGCAGGCTCCTCAGGAGAGGAGAGGAGGAGAAGTGCTCGATTCCAACCACACAGACATCAAACTGGAGAAGAGCAACATTGTGCTGCTGGGCCCCACTGGCTCTGGTCTGACTGAGCTCATAATTCTCACAGCGCTTAGCGCATGGGGCTGGGGGAGAGGGGTATATTGTACTAGTGCTGAAGCAGTGACTACATAAATGCAGTATTGGAACATAAGTACATTATAAAAGGAATAGGCAGAATGGCAAAATGTAATATTATTCTGTTTGAAGACATGAAGGTTCATGTCACAATGTTTAGTATTTTATGAAGTTCGCACGATGCCCCAGAGGGATAGTTCTGGCAAATTTAAAAAGTGCGTCTGACTTACAATCCTAATGTGTTCCAGTGTTTCTGCTCAGGAACAACATTAAAGCAAAACTGATGTTTGTCAGGTAAAGCATGTTATTTGAGCATCTTAAGACAGCTTAAACTAAAAACATTTGTTTCTAACGAATGTTTTAGAAGTTAAAGGGAGTATTTTTACTGTTTATCATGCACTGCCCCAATTTCACTTAAAGGAATTTTGCCTGAGTTGGAGGTTTTTTCCAGAGTTCAGCATAACATCCAGTCAGCTTTGTGCTGCTATGACGTTATTTTGGCAGTGTGTCACCACTGTTTGTTGTTTACTGCAGTTATAAATATTTTTTTTTTTTGTGACCGTTATCACAATAGCTAATATTGAGATAAATTGCAATAAGTAATAATACCATATCATCATATCGCCCACCCTAGTTATTAATTGTGGTGTATTGTATACTGTACTGAGAATAATAAGTAGTATATTGTAGCTTTTTATTCCATTAATGATGAATGGGCCTATGGAAGTGCTCCAAAATTACTTGTAATAAAATCTCTTGACATTAAGTTGCGGTAAAAGTTCAGAAAGTTTTTGTTTTCTCCTGAAAAAGTTACTATTTTTTTGATACATGTTGTGGGTTTTAATTTTTATTTTTTTTTTTTGGGACATCAATGATGTGTTCACATATGCTGTAGTTTCATCTTTAGCAGTCCAAAAACTTTTCAAATACAAGACGAAACGAAATTGTAAAAGTGAGTCTTTGGCATTTGTATTGCAGGCAAAACACTCTTGGCCCAAACTCTAGCCAAATGCCTGGATGTTCCTTTTGCAATCTGTGACTGCACCACCCTCACGCAGGCTGGCTACGTGGGAGAGGACATAGAATCGGTCATTGCCAAACTACTGCAGGACGCCAACTACGTCGTTGAGAAAGCTCAGCAGGGTAAGAAGGTTTAGGATCATACTTGCAGTGCACCTGACCACTTTTCTCAAGAATTGCCCTTACTGGGGGATGGTTCTATCTTGTAAAAGATGTGTGTGTTCCAAAGTGTACTGACCTAAATTGTTTCATTCGCAGGCATTGTTTTCTTGGATGAAGTGGACAAAATTGGCAGCGTGCCTGGAATCCATCAGCTTAGAGATGTTGGTGGAGAAGGAGTTCAGCAGGTCAGTCATCAGAATAAATCGTCAGTGCTTAACTAACACAACCCCTGACTCTCTCTAGCTTTGGGTTATAAACGCTGCTTAAAACTGGGGTTTCAGCTCTTCATTGACCAAAATATTTACCTTTTACATAAACACTTGTATCACCCTCTGATTGTAACATGTTGTCTTTATCCTTTTAGTGTAACTTTTTGACTTGAAATAAAATATTTTGTGGTGTAAAATACTTCATATTCTGTGCAGTGTATAAATAAAGTACATGTGATGGCACAGCTGTCTGTTATGCATTGTTTTGGTAGGGTTTACTCAAACTTCTGGAAGGCACAATTGTGAATGTTCCTGAGAAAAACACCAGGAAGCTGAGAGGTGAGACGGTGCAAGTCGATACTACAAACATCTTGTTTGTCGCATCTGGTGCTTTTAATGGACTGGATCGCATAATCAGCAGAAGAAAGAATGAGAAGGTTTGTTTTCATAGCTATTTGAGACACTTTTTTCACTCAGTGGGATAGCCAGGCATAGTCAGTGGCTGAATCTCAAATAATTCCCTGCTCCCCTGTACAGTGTGCTGTACAGGAAGCATTTACACCAGAATAGTTCAAAGCCATTTGGGGTTCAGTCAGCTGACTGATTAACCATTAGTGAAATCCAGAGTTTGGACCAGAACAGACACAACTTTTAAACAATTGAAGATGTTATACTGTGGCAAGATAGTACATTAGCTTTGTAACCTTACACTATCATTTATAATTTACATATTTAGTACCTGGGCTTTGGTGCACCATCTAATCTGGGTAAAGGCCGACGGGCAGCAGCAGCAGCCGATGTGGCCAACATCACAGGCGGTGAGGTGGACGCGGTGGCCGAGATTGAGGAGAAAGACCGGCTCCTGAAGCTTGTGGAGGCACGAGATCTCATCGAGTTTGGCATGATCCCGGAGTTTGTGGGCCGCCTGCCAGTGGTGGTGCCGCTGCACAGCCTGGACGAGGACACGCTCGTGCGCATCCTGACCGAACCCCGCAATGCTGTGGTGCGCCAGTACCAGGCCCTCTTCAGCATGGACAAGGTGAGGAACACACACACAGGCATGACTTTCACTTCCATAGTGTTGCTGAATTGTTGCCTGTCCAGCACAAACAACCTCACAATTAAACAAGGTCTGTATGTGAGCCCATGCTTTTAATTCTTTCCCACATAACTTTCATCTACGGGTATAAAAATTCATGATGATATACACTGCAAGTGGTGATTAAACTGCATAATTTATAGAACATTCTAATTCTTTATTCACTACTCACTATAGAATTGTTCTAAGATCAAAGATTTACAACCTGAAAAACTTACTAAATAATATGTAGTAAATACTGAATAAGGCTAATCAGTTTAGATTTATTAACAGAACAATAAGCCTGTAGTTTAGGGGCTTAAAGGGAAATTCCATCAGTTTTTCATAATTTTTGCATTATTCAATGGTTAAGATGTAGACAGTCATTCAGAGTGGTTTGATGTGATGTGGTTCATTGTAGAGACGCTTGCTGACTCAGATTTCTTTATAGTGGTGGTGATAGGAACCGGGGGTCGCCATGCCTATTTTGTCTTACAATGCAGTATGTGTAGCTCGTCACTATGAATATGCTTAAAAATATGTATTTTAGGCCAAATCCTCATATCAAAACTCGGGATGCATTGATACAATTTTTTTGAGACCAAGTACGAGTATGTGTTTTTTTGGTACTTGCTGATACCGATACCATAATGAGTAACCAGCTTAGAATTAAGTAGTTGTTAGTGAAAATCATTGCAATGTACCTTAACAGTTAAATCCTCAGTGTGCTTTAAAATGGGCTAAAATTGCACAGTGCATCAACGACTTTGTGTCCCACTGCCACAGCATCAGCAGACCTTCATTCAACTTCAGCTTGAGTCATTTTTTCGTTAGTGTGGCAGCATACTCTAGGCTTACGTCACATGGTATCAGGTGGTATCGGATGTGATGTATGTGCTTATTTTTTTTTCTTTTTTTCTTTTTTTTTCTTTTTTAATTTGAGTAAGAGTAAATGAGCACAGGATTGGGCCAATACCTGATACCAGCATCGATATTGATGCGTTCCTAATCAAAACTATCATAAAACCTTTGTACTTAGTTTCTTGTGATGTACATTTCAGAGGTATCACCACCACAGTAAACAATTCTGAATGGTAATTTTCTCTGCAACAGAGCATTTCACATTATATCACTCTAAATGTCTGTTAACATTTTTATTAAGAAATTATGTAGGAAGTGAAGTGTCCCTTTAATAAAATGGGTAAAATGCAACTGTAATGAAGATGTAGAGCTGACTTCCCTACGCTGTCCGTCTTCCCATCCCTTTCAGTGTGACCTAAATGTGACCACAGATGCCTTGCGGGCGATCGCCAGAATGGCACTGGAACGTAAGACAGGTGCTCGTGGGCTTCGGTCAATAATGGTGAGTACCTCACTTGAAAGCATCTCCTGAGTTGACCCATCCTCACTGATGGCCTTGTGTGGTTCATGTTATTTTCTTCTAACAGGAAAAACTGCTGCTGGACCCCATGTTTGAAGTGCCACATTCTGATATTGTAGCTGTGGAGATAAACAAGGATGTGGTATTTGGAAAAGAAGAGCCTCATTATGTAAGGTGAGAGCACATACTAGAAATTTTTATAAAAATCTTAGTCATCAAGTTTGGAAAGTCTCCAAAGACAATGTTCATCTTAGTTATTGATGTAATATATCGGTTTTCTTTTTTTTTTTTTTCCACTTTTGCTTGGTCATGCTGTTTGAGGAAGTAGAGAAAGTGTTGGTGGTTTTCTTGAAGGTTGAATGTTTTCACTGTGGTCAAGTGATGCAAGAAATTGTGCTTTGAACTGCCATAATGGTGTTTTGCTAAATCTTTGGAATTACTAAAAAATATTATCTATAAAAGTTACATTTTTCCATTCATGCAATATTGTGTTTTCTGTTTTAAGTCCATACACTCAGAAAAAAAACATACACAACTGTCACTGGAGCAGTACCTCTCTTGTCACTGGGGTGGTTCCCTCAAGGGTACATCTCAGTACCTTTAGTCAGGCAATATAATTGTACCATAATCCACTGAAATTATATTTTCGGTAGTTTTCTAAGTTGTCCACACACCCCATCTTGTCTGCAGGCTTTTTATTTTATTGTTCTATTGTTTTAAATCATTAGGTTATGAAAACATACAAATATGTACTTTTCCATTATGAAAAACTTAGTTAAAGTTCACATTTAAACCTTATGTTTGTACCTTGATGATGGGAAAAATGTACCAGCACTGAATCTTTATTTCTATCAGAGTGGCTATCAAAACATTGTGAAATATTAAAAATGTTTGTTTGACTCTAAAATTGAGTTATATATTAAATATCCAGCCAAGCTTAAGTGAAAAAAACCACATAAAAAGTATAATAAGTTCCGTGGGCTTTAACGATGGTTTAATCTTGTTTTTGTAAAATTTTAATAAAGTATTAAAAGAAGTAAATGCTGTCTGTTCTGCAGAGCACCAGCAAAAGAGGCAGCAGAGGAGGAATACGACTCTGGAATTGAAGAAGACAACTGGGCCCGGCAGGCTGACGCAGCCAAGAATTAAAACCAGCCGACGTAAACAAATCTCCTTATTTAAGCTCCGAATGATGTTTATTTCGGTCTAATAAGTAAGTGATTAGTCACCTCACCAGTCCCAAGGGTCCATTTACACATAGATATTATGTAGGCCTATATGATCCGTTCTAATGACAATCTGTAAGTTAGTGTGGACTATTCCATATTTAAATTTTCTTAAGTACAAATGATTTAAAACCAAATGTACACTGAGTTATGCTTCCCAGTGAGTGACTGTTAATATTAAATGTAAAGGAATTTATTTTGTTCCTTACTAAACAGATGGTGTTTTCATTTTTATGAACTGTTCACTTTCATTTGGTTTGAATGGGGATGAGAAGATAAAGATTATAGTTTCCTGTCATAAACTCACAACTCATTTTTCCTGCATAGGCTATGATGTATTTGTCATAATGTGACGCATTTCAAATGTAATTCTGTTTACCAGCTGAGGTACTTTGTTTCTTTATACGTGTAAATCTCTTGACAGTGAAACACAAGGCTGTTTTTTCTAGGGAATCTCAATGGCTGTATGTGAGGTTCTTACTGAAACAACTTTGTAAAGGGTTTTTATAGTTCTGTATATCAGTATCTGCTGCTGCAATATTACCCTCCATGCTGCAGTATTTTTGTGCATGGGTCTGTCTTTTCATGGACTGGTTTATGATGGGAAGCTGAAGAATCTTCCAGAATGCTGTTGATATGCTGCTGAAGAGCTGAAATAAGAGAAATGTCTTATTGCCATAACACAGACGGTTCTCCCCCAAGACTACATCCAGAATTCCTCCAAAAACGACTCTTATCTTTCTCTGCGGCTTACCTTTTTGCTCTCTTGTTGCATGTGGATGTAATCCGCAAGCATAAATCAGTCGAGATCCCAGAGAAGCAATTCTAATGCTTGTGAAATACATGCCTGTGCAAGTTGGAGAGCTAAATAAGCCAGAATAATCAGCCACATCACCAACCATTCTGACTGAAGACATTCTATAAAGACATTGGCATTAGTTCAATAGGTGCGGCACATTCTACACACAAAAATGTGTAGTTTGTTTTTTTGTGTTGTGCATCTAAATTACCTGCCTACGTGATCTATATGAGCAAGCACATTAGTCTGTAATTCAGACTTTTTAAAGAGTTTCAGCTCTTTCCCAGCCAGGGTCGTGTGTATTGATTTCTCAGAATAAGTTTTGATCTAGGGTCATCTGCCCCTTGCCCAACGACAGTCATATACAAAAGTTTGGTCGCCCCTGGTGAAGTGAAAATTAGTGCACATCCTTTACAGAGGACAAATTGAGGGGAGGGGGCACATCATAATCAAAAAATTATGGCACATTTTATATTTTATTTTTTATTTTTTTCCAGTATGTTAAAGTTACACTGTAAGATTTGGGGATTTAGAGACCTCTCTGGTGAAAATATGTAATTGCATGCAACAAGTGGAAGAACATTTTGAAATGTGGGTTGTGCTTTGGGCCCCTTCCCCGAGCAGATGAATCTGATGATTGCGAGCACGCTGAAAGAGTGTTCAAAGAGAACTAATTCAGAACTTGGCGAAGAACATGTTTTTTGAGGACGTGAGTGAATTATCTGCTTTTGTTGGTCATCAGATCTTCATCGATATCATGTTAATTTTACATTTGAGACCTGAACATCCAGCCAGACGTACCAATTAAGCTCGTGCATGTGACATTTAATACATAATTTGACCATATTAACATATATTTAAGTTTTTTTTTTTTTACTCTCCTTATTAAGTAATGCTACTGCTTTCAATTAAAAAACTTATATAGTGCAGCTTTAAAACCATCAAATAAATAGACATTGTGCACATTTTGCAGAAAAATGGCATGTGTAAATTTGCTCTCTCTAGCGGATGTGTTAACTTATTTTCACTCAATAAAATTTAATCAAATTTGAGGTCTTCAAACCTTCGCATATGATTGTAAATCAGTGCTTCAGGAGAGAGAAACATGTTCTTTGTTCACTCCAATCTACTTTGCTAGTTGGTACAATACTGGTCTTTGCAATACTGATATCACTGAATGCTACAATGTACAAATTAGTCTTCTAACCCTTCATAATGTTTTTACTGTGTGCTGTGAGCATCCTAACCAATCGCAGCTCAAGACAAGTGTTTCGGAGGGTGTTGCAATGAATCTAGATCTTCAATCAATGCACATTGTGGTCACAATAATGCAGACCAGTCAGTGATGAGTTTTTAATATATTGCCACATGTATTAGTCTCAATCTGTAGCAATAAAATGTAATATATTGTCCATATCATGCATAATTGAGAAATATCCCAGCTTTACAGTTCATTTCCTTGATTCAAGTTACATGAATCAATAACTTGCAGAAAGCTAATTGATGTACTGATCCTAGATCAGCACCCTTACTCTGAGATGAATAGACTTGATCCCAGGCCTCTAGTCTTTTGTAGGCTGTCTTGTAAAATGTATGGATTAATAAAAGCTGTCCTTCACTTTCTAATCGGCTCTAGATTCATTCCTCCCACATTATTATTGTATTAATCAAATGCTTGTTTACTTCTGTGTAAATAGATAGATAGCTGGTAAGTGTATTAGACAGTAATATGGTTTTGCCCACTGGTTTTGCTGTGTCAGTGGTACAGAACAAATATTATATATTGCAGTTTTGTTACTTTTTACAATTGAAGATTAATTTTAACTTATTGTTAAAGGGGTTTTATTCTTCTTTTTTAGAGAAAGCCACAAGCAGGAGCTTGTAGAGGGGCTGTTTCGTTAATAGTTTACAGTAAATTACCTTTCTTAAACTTGGTTCATTTTGTCAGATCCTATTATTCTACTGTGCATTTTCCAAACTTAGAATTTCCCAGTTATTTCCAAGAATGCAAACATGAACAAACCATTCAGAGTATAACTTGAAGTGTAGTCACTGTAAGTGACTCAGATTTCTTTACAGTGGTGCTGACATGAACCAGGGCTCACAAACTCTGCAACACAAATGTAGCCATTTTATTTACAATCCATAATGACCAGTCAACCTACACGGTCATTTGAGTTAATATGTAATTTTGATAATGGTAAAATAGTGGTACAATTTAAAACCAGTTTTGGAGGGACTATTTTGCCTTACAACACCCTGCATATACCTCTCCACCATTAATGTATTTTTCAAAATGTTTAGGCCAGCTACTTATCTCAGAACTATCATAAAACACTTAATGTAACGATTGGTGCGAGGGAACTTTTAGTGGCATATTAAATGCTTGAACTTCTGGTTCCTATCACCACCACTGTGAACAATTCTGACTCGTTAAGTTTGACTAGAATGGTGCTTTTTACATCAAGCCACTCTGAATTACTTTTGAATGAATTAATTATGCAATTTTTGAAAAATTTGTAGAATTTCCCTTTGTCTAAGTATAGTTCATAACATGACATTCATGAGAAAAATATTTTCAATGCATGTAATTGTAATTACACACTGCATAGAATATGTACTACATATTTTTGTATTTTATTTTTTCCCTTGATTTCCAATACAAGTATTGAAATATTAATATTAACCATTTTGTGAAGGGATTAGATTTTTTTTTTTCTTTTTTTCAAGAGAAAAATCCACAAGCAGGAACATGTAGAGCTGTTTTGTTTATAGTTATGATTCTCTTTCTTATTTTTAAATTATGGTTATTCTGCTCTGCATTTTATGTGACCTGTAAGTCATTCCACCTATTTTTCCTATTTTTCAAAATATCTGCACAATTCAGTGGTCGGTTTGTAAAAATAGTCATTCAGAGTGGTTTGGTGTAAAAGTGTAGCAACTTTTTATATGGAATGTTAAGATGGTAAAATAGTTGAAAATCTGAAAATAATAAGTTTTCTATGGGGACTATTTTGTCTCACAACACTCTAAATGTACCCCTCCACGATTAATGGAATTTAAAAATATATGTCTTGGTCCAGAAGCTTCTAAAAACTATTGTAAATCTCAGACATCAGGTTGTGTATTCATAACTATTTCATGTAATAACTTTCTGTGAGGGAGCTTTTAGAGGTGGACGTCTGGTTCCTATCACCACCACTGTGAACAATTCTTCTCTAGAACCGAGCATTTTACACCAAATCACTCTAAATGACTTTGTTTACGTCTTGGCCGTTAAATAACGCGGAAATTTTGGAAAATCGGTGGAATTTCCCTTTAATATGTATCGGCGTTAATGAAATTTGCATTGTGTAACGTTTCTTCCCTACTTTAGAGTCCGTAAAAGTATGGAAGCCTCTGGAGAAAAATATATTCTTTTTTTTTTTTATTTACTCAGTAATAATAATGCGAAAGTTTTCCATAATTATGACATAGTATCTCATTATTATGACTTACTAAATGGCTATATTTTCCAGTGACTAAAATGGGCTTCCATATAAACGCGACCGTTTTAAAAACGGTTTTGTTTGGAACCCTATAAAATGGTCGCCGTTAGCGTGCTTTCTTTCAAGTGCACTAGGTCTGGAGCGTTCACTCGATTTGGAACGCACCCAAACGCACGTAGTAAGGAAGTGACGAAGCCACCTCCGCTTAGAGGGGAGCGCATTTGAAGCTGCACTGTGAATTTCTCTGCAGCGCAGCCCTGGATTTCCGTGTAAACACAGTGACTGGACAGTATGGATTCATTCGGGACCTCAAGGGACGGGAACCAAACCCAGCCGTACTCGGGAGGGCTACTGGAAGCGGGCGCGGAGAGCTATGGACTCGGTAGCCGAGGGGGGTTTGGTACTGGAGCGCCTCCCAGCTCGGTCCCTCCACCCCCGCCGCCTTGGTCCGTCCAGCACGGCCACTGGCCTCCGTTTCAGCCGCCGGTGCCTCCAGGTGGACCCTCTCCGTACTCTCAACCTCCGCCTTTCGACCCCAGCAGACCCCCTCCAGGTTACTTTGGCGAGCAGCAGATGGGGCCTAGGCCTGGGCCTTGGCCTCTTGCCGCCAGCAGGGGGCAGCAGCCGCCTGGGGCTCATAGGGGACAGTTTGATCAGGGGGGCACTTTTACCAATTTTGGACCTCCACCTCCAGCATACCAGCCTTGTTATCCTCCATCCAGCTCGGGTCCAAATTTCAGTGTGGATCATCATAAACCTCCCAGCGCTTTCCCAACCCAGTTTTCCTCATCAGAGAGCGCCTGGCCAGGTGAGTGCCAAAATAGACTAAACAAAAAACACAGCAGCACCAGGCCGGTCACATCTGATCCAGATGCAAGGCAGAGGGTGCAGGATGAGCAGTGGATCAAAGGGTTCTTACAGAGAAGAGGGCAGAAATCAGCTGCAGCCACTCGGGCTGCTTCAGGACAGTCTGTTTCTGAGTTCAGACAGAAGCTGTACAGTGCAGTTCAGGTTCTCTCTGAGCTCTCACTGCTTTGCCAAACCCTAAAAAACAACCTGGAGAATGAAAGCGTCTGGACTGAGTCACACTCTAGAGCGGTAGAGCTGAAAAGCAGCCTGCAGGAGAGACTGGCAGGCCTGCAGGACCAGGAGGCCATCAGCAGGGTGAAGAGGAAGCTGGAACTGATCAAGAAGAAACGGGCGCGCATGCACAGGAGGAAAGCAGTGAGGATGGAGGAGAAGCAGGAGGAGGAGAGGAGAGCTGCAGAGAAAGAGGCAGCTATAGACAAGTACCGGATGAAGCAGATACAAGAACTGGAGGAAAAGAACAGGGTGAGATGGTGGGGCATGTGTTCTGCAGGACATGCAGCAGGGGGCGCTCTCACTAAGGGTCAAAAGTTGACACTCGGCTTATCAGATGGTCGGGACAGATTTACATAAATGGTGTCTTACCACAAATTTAACATTCTTTACTTTTGCAGTACAGTCTTAAAAAAGATGGTTTGTTAAGGGTTCTTTAGTGAAAGGAATGGGTCTGTTTAGAACTATGAGTTACATATACGACAATTTCATGATTAAAATGGTTCTATATAGCACAAAAAGGGTTCTGCTATTTTTACGAGTTTGACAATGTAACAATAGGAGAACTCTCTTTTGTGCTATATAAAACCATTCTCCATCAAGCTCAAGAACCATTTCATCATGTAGAGAATCATTTAGGCATGAAATGATATAGAACTCATGGAACTCAATAGAATCATTCTTTTTGCTAAAGAGTGCAGCGGTACAAAGCTTAGATAGTTGAAGTGTATGTTCACTAAATATTGTTTTGGATTAATGTAGCAAAAAGTGGAAGTCTATGAAAAAAAAAAGGCTTTATGTAGTTAAAAGGTAATGGAGGTCTATGTCACCCAAAATCTTATAGGCTAATGAAGTTAACAGTAATGGAAGTCTATGTCATCCAAAATCTTTTAGGCTAATGAAGTTAAAAAGTAATGGAAATCAATGTCACCTAAAATCTTTTTAGGCCAATTTAGTTAAAAAGTAATGGAAATCTGTGTCACCCAAAATCTTTTTAGGCTAATGAAGTTAAAAAGTAGTGGGAGTCTGTGTCACCCAAATTGTTTTAGGTTCATTTAGCAAAAAAACAATGGAGGTGTGTGACACCCAACATCTTTTTAGGCTGATGAGGTTAAAAAGTAATGAAAGTCTGTCACCCAAATTGTTTTAGGTTGATTTAGCACTAAAGTAATGGAAGTCTACTTGAAATCTTTCTAGGCTAATGTAATTAAAACATAATGGAATTTTTTGTCGCCCAAATATTTCTAGGCTGATGTAGTTAACCAAAATCTTAGACCTCCATTACTTTTTGGCTATGTTAGCCTTGTAGTTCCAGTACAAAACAAACAAATAGACATGCATGATGATATATATTAGAATCATATTGGTATCAGTCAGGAGTTATTATATTCTGCATGCAGAAGATGCAGAGTTAATATATTCTGCATTTGAGCATTGCTGAAATGTGACTGATTTTAAATGCATTATTGTTTTCCAGAGGAGCTGAATGTTTAGGTGACACAGGCTACAAAGCTAAAGTGTCTATTTTATTCTCTTTTACTGGACGTGTAGCCCTCTACAGACAAATGTTGAATTTTTCTGTAATGCTAATCCAGATAAATGTATCCTTTTCCGCATTTTGTAAATGTGTTACGCACACCTACATTGAGGCATATGTGCAGATTCAGAATTCCTGTATTAGTGCAGTCCTACTAATAAAGGAGCAAACTTTGCATTTTTGGTAAACCATTGATTTAATTCTGAACATCTAGTTGTTTAAGACATTTCCCACCTAATGGTGTTAATTTTGTTATTTGAAGCAACCAGCAAAGTGCATTTTCTTCATTATAAGATGAGCACTTTGGGTGATGTCTAATTCAGTCACTGCTTCTCACTCCATTCCAGAAGCCAAAACTCAACCAGGCAGTTGGAGAACCAAACTGATCTTTTCTGATTTGGGGAAATTTAGACACATTTGTTAAAATAGTATTTAGTGAGAGCATAATAGAAACTATTATCTGACAATCATGTTACCATGTTAAAAAATGGCCTAAACTACAAATGAAATCCTATTTATGCTCCCTATTTATGCTCCCAAATGCAGGAGCGTGAGCTGAAGCTTGCTGCTGACGCTGTGCTGTCTGAGGTGAGGAAGAAGCAGGCAGATGCTAAGCGAATGCTGGACATCCTCAAGGCTCTGGAAAAGCTGAGAAAACTCCGCAAAGAGGCTGCATCAAGGAAAGGTGACCAACTGTTTCTCCTCATTTGTTTACTATTAGTTCCCCTGCCCGGACCATTACAGAGAGAGGTGTTAAATTTCCAAGAAAGTTTTATTTTGGGCAAAAATGAATTATAATCCATTCTTAAAATACAGCACAGTTGAGTTGCCACCTTTGTGTATCTGTTGCATCAGACGGCAGCTTAAAATGCTTCAAATGCTGTTTTTATGGGTGATTTTGAGAACAAATATCCAAGTACTCATTCGGAAATATTCAATAGTATTATTGCATACATGGATACATAGTTGTTCATGCCATTTGTTTGTTACCTCAGTGTTAGCCTTACCCATAATTCCTCATTGTAATTCTGAAAAGGAGTTAATAAAGACTTTCTTTGGGCATCTGAAGTTAGATTCCAGTTTGACCGTTTTCGTCTTCGTTCTGAGCAGGCATGTTTCCGGAGAAGGTGTGTGATGAGGTGTTTGAGGGCCACCTGACACGGCTAAGGAGTCTGATCAGAAAGCGCACGGCCATCTACGGTGCTGAAGAGAAAGCCCTGAGGGTCATGCTGGAGGGAGAACAGGAGGAGGAGCGCAAACGAGAGCGGGAAAAGCGGCTGAAGAAAGAAAGAGAGAAGCTGCTGCTTAAGAAACAGGAGATAGACACCATGCTGTTTGGAGGTAATTAACAGGTTGTGTTATGTGACCTTGCTATGTGTTGTGTTGGTCTTTCAATATTCAGGTCTGGCGCTGGTCTGTTAGTTATGTACTTGGACTTTTTTTCCCCAATGACCACAAGGTGTCAGCATCAGCCTGTTAAAGCTGCAAGAAAGCAGCTGATATTGTCTTCATTGTTATCTTTTAGGGCATTTGTTTTGAAAGTGTGCTGGAATGCTGTTTGTTTGCTTTACTGAGAGGGCTGTGTGTGTTTATTTTGCTTGCTTCTCACATGATCTTTCTTCTGTCAGCTGAACTGCCTCCCGATCATCCGCTTCAGCCTTTCAGAGAATACTACACTCAGGCGGAGCGCTCTCTACCTGCCCTGATCCAGATAAGGTGAAGAGCCAGCAGTCACTACATTCTTACTAACAACATCCCTGCTGTATCTTCAAAACCACTCCATTATGTGAAAGAGTGTGTAATTGTGTAGCACTATAATCTGACATATGCAACACAAGTTTGGAATTAGCTTTTTTCAGCCATATTTTAAATCATATAAAGCCAGGTTGGCTCTGTTTCAAATAATTAGTAGGAAGCTGGAAAGTGATTCAAAAATGAATAAACTATAGTGTACACACAGCTACAGGTACTTGTAAACATAATTTCCAAAATAAAGTTATCATAAAATAAACATCCAGAGCACCTTTGTGATAAAGTTGCCAAAATATTATTGAAAGTATATAATTACACATTTCTTTATCTTTTAAAGGGCTCAGATCTTATATTTTTGTGTTATTTCTTGTCCCTGAGGTCCACTGTTTGGTTTTATGTACCAAAAACAGTCCTGATTCATGTTTACATGACCATTTTCCAGTCTCTCTTTATCCCTTAGAATTAAGGATGATTTGTTACTGTGCCTTTAAGACTGAGATATGTAAATGAATTCTGTCCTGATTGGCTGTCCTGCATTGTGCCTCATTCAAAAAGCAGTCCAGACTGAAACACTCCTTATAATTTTAGTTTGAATGGGCGGGGCTAAATTGCTGTTGGCTGATTGGGCAGATATATGTAAATGTGTTGGTTTTGTGACATCACATAAACAATTAGTTCAAAATGGGCTGTTGCGTCAACTCAGCAGCAAGTCGCTAGGTTTAGTGGGTGTGATAAAAGCAGGATAATCACCAAATTGGACACTGCTAGACCACAGTTCTCCACTCCGGTTTACATACATCAAATTCATTTTTCAAAAAATGAGCATTCTTTTCCCCTGATGTAGACTCTTTAATAGTTTCTAGTTGCCAAAATATTACACACACACACACACACACACACACACACACATATATATATATATAATATTAAAATATTCTGTATTGCAGTTTTTATATAAAATAACAATTTTAAATATGACAAGTGATGGATGTGCACTAAAACAGGTTTTTTCTTTGTTTTGATTTCTCCTTCCAGGAGAGAATGGGATCAGTTCCTGGTTCCAATAGATCATCCTGATGGCACGTCAATCCCTCAGGGCTGGGTTCTGCCAGACCCTCCTTCGGATGATTTCTGGGCCTCTGCTCTGGAGAAGTGAACCTGTTACTGAACCAGTTCTGACTACCGAATCACTTCCAATTCACTACTGAATGCTACTGACTGATATTGTTAACAGTATGTGAGTTGGAGTAGGAGTTATTTATGTTGTATTTCTGGTGCACACATCTGTACAGATGTCTAAGAAAGTTTATTTTTGTACTGTGGTGAGTCATAAGAAATACAAGGTAACGCTTTTTGAACACTACCTACAGGGGTAAATGTAACAATGTGATACATGAAGACATTTTAACAATACACAGTAAATCACGATTTTTAGTTTTCATTAGGACTGAAAGATTAACCGTTTTCATATTCAAATCACAATTTCACGGAGTGCAATTTTCAAATCTGAAGAGCCAGAATTTTTTTTCATTATAGCCTATACTTTATCAAAAATGTCTTAAGTTTTAAGTGGGGAAATATAACCTAATAACACAGAGCTTTTAAACTGCCTGTAGATGAGTTAGGCCAATCAGATCCAACCAAACCTCCATGTGACAGCCATAAGTCTGCCACACTGCATTCAGGTTTCAAGCCTCAAGCCAAAATAGTGAATATTCTTGGCCAAAAAAATTCTTCTTGGCCAAAAAAAAAACAGGCCTGAACCTTAATTTATAGAAAAAAATTGCAAATTAAAATTGTAGTCACAATATTAGTCAGAAAAATTAGATATTTTCCCCAAATTGTTTAGCCCTAGTTTCATGAGGTTTGATAAATTGGAATGCACAAAGAGCCCCAATCATGCCACATTAAAAATACTATGGAATACTATCAAAACTACAGTTTTTTTTTTCAGCATATCCTGCACTGCTACAGTAAATCCAGGACTGGTTCTCTCTGTTATTAAACACATAGTTGGTCTGTGTTCTTTAAGTACTTACAATAACCATGACGTGCTCAGAAAGGCAGTAGTTGAGTATTTGAACAGCTAATGCTAGTATTTACGAGATGGCATTCTTCACCAAGCCATTTTTCTTTAAATGTTCTCAGTAAATGCTCCAATACAACACAGATACTCAATATTTGTCATGTATATATCTGCCAAAAAGAACACATGAAAATGTAGAACGTGGGACTAAACCTGACATTTCCATCTGCAGGTTTAGAAAATGCAGACCTTTTAGTATATTAGCCCAGCGTCACTTTAACATTCTGCTCTTAATACTACAATAGTAACATAATCAGATATCAGCCCAATATAAACATCTGAAGATGTTATAAGTGCTAAATGTGTTACCACCTCAGTTACAGGGCATCAAACTCATTCATACTGATATACTGTTTGTTGCTAATATGTACTGTTTGACGTTTCATTACTGCTGCATCAGCTCTTCATAAAACTCAAGTATTGGTGTTTAAATTATATTTTATTGCTAATGCGTATGTTATGACGTCTCTTTGTTTGTAGCATTCAAATAAAGTGTTACCAAATACACAAGTTTGGACTCACAGTTAAAATTATTAAGTAGTATAATACCATTTTGGCTGTAGATAAATGTAAGGATTCTAACATGCTCGGTTCTGTACAACTTCATCAGAAGGATGAACAGGAGCTGTAGATGATTCTGAAATGAGCGAGCTGTATAACGTCAAGAATGAAATTAAAGTTAGGAAATGAATATCCAGAAAACGTTGTATTCAGGTCATGAACAAATCTAACAAAAATATTACAAACAAATATACAGAACATTATCATTTAAAAACATCTTATTGTGTGTAGTTTGATATTTAATGGAGAATTCCTTTCCATTTTTTTTTTATTTTTGCATAATTAATTGGTTAACATGGTAACAAAGTCATTCAGAGTGGTTTGGTCTGAAATGCTCTGTTCTAGAGTCATAATTGTTCACAGATAGGAACCAGATGTCCACCTCTAAAAGCTCCCTCACAGAAAGTTATTACATCATGTGGTTATGAATGTCAAAGATGTTGTTTTCTGATAGTTTTAGGTTTTGGCCTAAAACATATTTTTACATAATTTTAAAACTCCTTCATGGTGGAGGGGTACATGCAGGGTGTTGTGAGGCAAAATTGTCCTGAAAGAATTTTTTTCCCATATTTCACTGGTGGTCTTGGATAGTAAAATGTCTATATTTGAGATGTCCCGGCCCCCGGTTCCTATTGCCACCACTGTAAAGAAATCTGAGTGTTCTCTAAAAATGAACCATTTCACACCAAACCACTCCGAATGACTCTGTTTACATCTCAACCACTGAAGACATGAAGATGTTTTAAATAATTAAATAAATTGGTGGAATTGCCCTTTAAATATACATTTGTAGTACATAAAGTGATTTTAAAAATGTTGTATTGTGTTAATTTATAGCACTGACATAATAGTCTGTTAGCATTCATTCAGTGCTATCTAAGTGCCCTGAAATCTAAGTTGAGTCATGATCAGTCTAAGAAGTTCTCCAGATTTAGTCACAATCCATGTTGACTAGCGAGCATTAGTGATTACACAAAGTCTTCTTTGAACTGTTTATGGTGGCCTTTGCTGGCCACACTGTGTGTTTACACGTGACCACTATGACACAGTGCTACTATTTACACACATATATATATATATATATATATATATATATATATATATATATATATATATATTTTATTGTTATTAGTCAAAGGAAAGTGTCTGTGAAAGGTCAATAAAGGTCATAAACTGTTTACAGTTCTTAAATTCTTCTTAATGTGATTGAGTACAGCTTGTGTGTGTGTGTCATAAGGTGTGATGCAGTCAGGTAAACAGCTGGTGTCGAGGTGTTACGTCAGCGGATTAGCAGAGCAGAGAGTGTTATCAGCGTAAGCAGGCGTGTCTGCTAGTCTTAAGACCGCCACAGCAACAGCCACAGCAACATTGTTCACACTCCAGCCCTGAGACCACACAGGTAGGCCATAAAAACTTTGCTGTTTGTTTTTGGTGAAGTTTGTTTTTCAAGTAAAGGTTTTCTTGCTGTTTTGCTTCACAGTGTGATTGGCTGAGAAGTTTTATGTAAGGTTTCATGTAAGCACAGAGGGCTTTTGGTTTGGGAAACAAAGTTTCAGTGTGCTGCCAGGCGGTAATACCATTTGACAAAGTCTGTCTATAAATGGTCCAGTTAGTCCACCAGGTGTTCTTATTTGTAACTCCGTCCAGACACTGCATATTAAAATGGATGAGTGGTGGTCTTACACATTCTAGTTTGGGCTCTAAAGTCATGCATAGCGTTTATGTAATGATTCCCTAAATGTAGACAGAAATGTGGTGCTGGGGAATAAATATTGAGCATAATTTTAAACATTTGCAAACTGTTTACAATCTGAGAATGAAGTAAGGCTTTGTCACAACAGGCCAGTGTTTCCTTTGGATGTTGCAGCTTGAAATTACTGTATTTTGGCTCCTTGTTTTTTAGCTGATCACTTGTGGATTGCAGAAGATCTGGCCAAAGCTGTTTTATCATTCTGAATTATCTACTAGACTGAGTTTCTTGTTATAGTGCAGGGGTCGGCAACATGCAGCTCTTTTACTGCCCTGTTGCAGCTCTACAGCAGAATTAGATTGAATGTTTAGATAAAAATAAAATAATCCTTCTTTGCAGTAAAATGAAGCTCTGCTGATCATTCAAACACAGTTTTAACAATAAATGGTCGAAAATGCTGGAGTTAATGTAGCCTATAACTGCAAATTCACTGACCTTTAACCCTGAAGTTTGGCGCGCTGACTGCTGGTCATCATAGCAACCCAAAGCACAGTTTCGCCTAACTAGATGCTAACAAAAAGGCAGAGATTTAAGACAAACAATAATATAACATAATTTGTAGACAAGCTGATTTATTTGCGTTTATAATCACTCCAGCTGGTTTCCTGATACGTTTAATCTGCAACAAGAAACTCTCAAACACTAAAACGTTGTGAAGCTGAAGTCGCTTCTCATACGCCAGCTTCTTGTTCTTTTTTTCCGTTCCAACTTAAATATGTGCAGCAGTTACATTCAGTTACATTTAAGGTGGAATGGAAAAATTCTAACAAGAAGCTGGTGAATCAGAAATGACTCCAGCCTCGTAAAAAGTCCAACGTTGAGGGACATTTTACAAGAAACTGTTCTACTTGTGAGGAAAAGTTTTCTGTCGGAGATGCGAGAAAACCGACTATAGCTGAGCTAAAGCTTAAAGCAGAACAAAGTAAGTCTGTGTTTTTTGTTGATATTATATTTTTAGCCTATACTAGTACATCAGCACATACTGAGACATATTTACAGCCAAGATGGTAAAATGGACATAAAATGTTGTGACTCCCATGGTTTGATTTTTATTTAAAGGACAAAATGGCTCTTCTTACTATTTGAGTTGCCGACCCCTGTTCTAGTGTGTCACTCAGAGGCCTCTGAATTAGACCACATTACAGCGATTTGATTGCAAGAAACTCTTGTATACATTAGTTGAAGACAAACACCATGTGACTTCTTGAACTTTCCCTTCTTCTGTCCTTCACAAGAAGGAGAACAACTTAAGAGCTTACCGGGCAGCTGGCAGCTAAGACCCAGACTTGGTTTTAAAGTCTAGAACCATCTGCTTCTGGTAATTTTCGAAGCAGCTCGTCAGAGAGCCCAGCCTGAGCAGATTTCCCCACATTCTGCCGTGAGCTTTGTGATGATGCTGGCCAGACGTCAGCACGGCTGCTCCAGCAGGTCAGCTGACTAAGTTCAAGCTGTCACTTTACTTTTCACATCTTGGAACTGGGACTGATGCTGATTCTAATGAGCTGAAATTTTAGAAAGGCAGTGATATCAGGCAGTAAATTTTATATGGTTAAACAGTAAAAAAAACTCCCTAAAGAGCCATGGATTTACATGTTATTTTGATTTCTTTCTCGAGTTGTCAGTATAGGTGTCGTTATTATGGTGAGATCTCAAGTTATTTATATGATTGTCACAACATAATAAATGCAGTTTTATGGAGATAACATTCGTTATGTTATGATAATTGAATAAATATCTGAAGAAAACAAATGAAAGTAATTCACCGTCACAGCAAAATGGAGGAGAATCCATCTACATTTAGGACTTCTGTTCAATGCTTCACTGACGGATGTTTCATCTAATATGATTGTCAGTTCTCAGTGATATTAACCTTAAAATATCACAAGTGAGTAACACTCTCAAACAAGTATATATATATATATATATATATACAGTATATACTGAACAGTTCTGTGCTTTAAGAACACGTCATGAGTCTGATGTAGACTTTTTCTTAGGATCTTTCTCAATAACTAATTTAAGAAAAGACTTAGGAAGGTATTGGAGAATGAGGCCCACTAATATCATCTAGTGTTTTTGGTCAAACAATATATTGATCCATGGAGCATTAAGATCAGCAGGCCAAGTGATATATTGATCAGAGGAACCTCAGTACCTTAATTAATATCTTAATTAAACCTGGGCTAAAAGTGAATCATTCTCTGAAATCTTAATTTCAACCAATTTTATGAATGATATTCAGTGGAATCTTAATATTGGCTGATTTGATCAGCCAAATGATACATTTGTCCATGGAAACTTAAGATACAGTCGTAGGCAAAAGTTTGGGCACCCTGGTCAAACAACGTGTTGTTGATTTTCTATGTGTAAATAAGTGAACACATCCTCTACAAAGAACACACTACTGCACATTTTAATGCACAATTACTGTTCGTTTGCTCAATTTAGCATATTGGGAAACATAAAATGTGGCCTGTGCAGAAGTCATGGCATATTTTTATAATTTATATTCAGCAAATAAATAGAAATGCTATGATAAATTTGCAGAAATACCGTATTTAAGTGTGTTCCCTGTAGAGGTTGTGCTTATTTTCACTTAGAAAATCAACAAAGTGTAAAATGTAATGGGTGTTCAAATTGGGAAATATGACAATATTTTATCATATTGTAATAAATTACAGCACAGTACACCCCATTAAGTTCTGAGCATGTCATGGATTTTGTCAGTATTTAATTACGAGGACAACATAATTAGTCCTATTTAATGTAATTAAGGTCTGCACAGTATGTGAAACATGAAATAAAGATGATTGAATTTATTATTTCTTTAATATTATTATTCAAATTATTATTCAAACTACTGGTGCATGCTGTCTGTTCTAATTTCTCAAGGTTTAGAAAAATGAAATATTGTGACATATTTTATGTATCAGGTCTCATATCAGAGGAGGAACCATCTCCAAATCTGATCCCAGACAGAGAAATGGCAGCTTCTCAGTATGTTGACATACTGCTTAGAGTGGGTGTGTTGCAGACAGTCAGATGGCCAAGGCTTCGTAATCTCTAATCCCTAATCCTCTGTACTCGTCCAGTATTGTGTAATAGAACAAACCAATATAGCAAGCAAGTTAAGAAGTAGACACTTAGACATGTAGGAGTTTCTGAGAAACATCAGAAAACCTCACCCTGGTTGGTTTCTCATTAAGAATATGAGGCACTTTACAGTGTTTTAAGGAAATCATGTGTTGAGTTTACCTTCCTCAAATGTGTACATCGTTTCCATGTAAACAAATTGTATTACATCAACACAATTGCTGCCAAAGGTAAACACTAAACTGTGTCGATGTAATATAGTAATAACTATTATTAATGTGCTCAAGAAGGACACATCTGAAACAAATGAACACCATGCATCACTTTTATTTTGGAACATAAGACATTTTCCAGTTTTTAGGACATCTCCATCAGCTGCTGTATGCTGGAAAAGGTAATGCATTAAAAAAGTGTTTATTCCTGTCGAAATGACATCCAGGTCTATAAATTCAACACTCAATGTTTTTTTCAGTTCAGTTTTCATCCAAATGTCCAAAAAAGGTCCCCACCAGACTTATTTGACCTTGGTCAATGGACTTTTAATTGTGTGTTTGCAGGCCAGTGACAGTGCGAATGGCTTGTCTGGATGAAATGCCCTTCAAAATCCCTCTGGGCTCCTTAGCAGAGGTCAAAGAGGAGGTGGAACTGGTCATGGCTCCAGAAATCACCCTGCCAGACTACCTGATGATCCTGCAGGAGACCGAGGTTGGAGAAACTAGAACTTAGTGTTCCACCTCAGGGTTGTCCAAACCCAAAGGAGCTTTCACAGTGACACAAGCTGCATGAGTCTTAGCACACACTTTTGTTTTGTGATCGAGCTCAGTGCAATGTGTACTACTGACTGCTTTAGAAGCACCAAAAGCAGATCTTTGTGTATATATATATATATATATATATATATATATATATATATATATATATATATATATATATATATATATATATATATATATATATTTTCTTCTGCTTTTCTCAATGTGCTTTGATGTGAAATGGTTCATTGTAGAGAAATGTACCAGCTTTACAGTGATGGTGATAGGAACCAGGAATCATGATGTTTATAACACCAATATAGCCTTTTTATTTACTGTCAGGTGTCTTCTGAGTTGTCATATGTGAGTTTGATGATTGTAAAATAGTGGAAAATCTGAAAAATCAGTTTTCTTTCTATTTTGCCTCGTAACACCCTGCATGTACCTTAACATCGCAAATGGATTTTCGACCAAAACGTTTTTGCAAAACTATCGTAAAACAGTGTCTCAGGCATCAGACTGCATATTTGTAACCATTTCATTTAAAATGTTGCTGTGAGAGAGCTTTTTTAGAGGCATTAATGTTTTCAGACACTCAGTTCCACTGTGAAGAATTCTACTTTTTATACCAAACCACTCTGAATGACTTTGTTAACACCTTAATCATTTAATTATGTAGAGCTTTTTTTAAAAAAATGGAGGAATTTCCCTTTAATTGTATAATATTGTTTAAAATCACTGCTTGCTTCCAACAATTCTGGCCTGTAGTGTACTTCAGCATCTAAAAGGCCATCTGTAAACAGCACCAGGACGTTTGGATTAGGGTTGTAAGAAAATCTTGTGGCCACAGCACTCTTACACTGAATTAGGCTTCAACACTGAAAGATGATGTTCTTGGCATGTTTTTTTCTGAAGATCTCAGATACTGTACTGCTACATCCAAAGTAGCTCTGACCTCAATGTAGGCTCAGTGTAATTGATCTAGAACATCTGCTGGCTCCAACAGTTTGTTCCTCTAATGTAATTATCCCTAAGAACTCTAGCAGCGTCATGGCAAAACACAGATGGATTACTCATCTGCGTGAAGGCATACCCACAAACTACCCTCCTACAGTACTGTGCATTTATTTAATTCCCACACAAAACAGCCATTAAGTTCACGTTACTGCTTTTTCAGCTTTAGAAAAATTAGAGAGCATTAACAGAAAATTACAAGAAGCCTTAATACATTAACATAATATCACATTTTTCAGTTTTTCAATATGGACACCATAGCAACTGCCTAGCAAGCGCTTAGCAACTGCTTAGCAACCTCTACGAAAACCATAACAACCGCCTAGCAACCGCTTAGAAACCACTACGGACACCATAGCAGCCGCTCAGCCACCGCTTATCAACCACATAGGACACTATAGAAACCACCTAGCAACCACTTAGCAATCACTTGGGTCACACCTAGCAACTGCTTTGCAACCTTTATGGACACCATAGCAACTGCTTAGCAACCACTTCAAACACCATAGCAGCCGCTTAGCAAACATTACGGACACCATAGCATCTACCTATCAACCGCCTAGCAACGACTTAGCAATCACTTCAGTCACAGTTGCAATCGCCTAGCAACTGCTTTACAACCACTATGGACATCATAGCAACTGCTTAGCAACCACTTGGCAACCACTCCGAAAACCATAGCAACCGCCTAGCAACCACTATGAAATCCAGGGCACCTGCCTAGCAACTGCTTAGCAAACACTACGGACACCATAGCATCACAGCAATTTGCAAGGGATATTTTTCCACACCTCCAAATCGGCCTGGGCAATATGACAATGTATACTATTATCGTGATAAATTATGTCACAAAACAGTATGTTTTTCTGAATATATCGTGTATATCATCAGTACTCCTAGAACACTGACCAACTGCCTGTTATATTATAAAAAGAGCAAAATTAGTTCAACTTTGCAACACAGGATGCCAAATATTAAATAAAAATCATTGTATTCAGTTTTTTATAGTATTTTTTTAAAAAAGGTTCTTTTTTCTCAGTTTCAACTGATTAGATTTTTGAAAAAAAATATATATTGTGACTTATTGTGTATGGTGAAAATCTCTTTAAGTATTATGATATTATTATTTTTAGTTTTAGAAGTTGATTGTATTTTCTGCTTCTGATGATCCAAATAATCCCACACACATTTAATTATGCTGAGGGCTGGGCTCTGTGGTGGTCAGCCCATTGTTCAGCTTCTTTGTTTTATGTGTCTGTCTCCTTTTCTCAGTGAGTCTTCTTGACAGCTACACATCCTTTCAGACCCATAGTGCTGAGTTGTCTTCTCACAGTGGAAGGATGGACAGAAACACCTGTAGATGTTTTCAGATCTGAAGCAGCTTGATTTTCTCCTCTCTCTCAGAGATGAAAGTTTTAAGTGTTGTTTATCTGATGGGGGCAGTTTTGGTGGTCTACCAGATCTTCCAGGTGGTTGTTAGAGTCCCGTTTTGTGTATATCTTACATCTGCTGGTGTGCAGCTGATAAAATGCTATGTTGTTACCTTAGAGGCCTATTTTCAGCATAGTTACGAAGTTGCTGTTACACAGAATTGTTTAATGTAATTACTCCTCAGAACATGAGGCTCAACTCAGTATCACGACACAAGACATTGTCCATAAAAAGACTGTTGGCTGACAACTAATGTTGACACTAGATAGCATTGGAGATCTGTTTGGACTAAATGGCAACAGCACTTAAAGTTCATATGATTGTGTTTTTTGGGCTGAAGGCTCTTACAGGGAAAGCAAGCCTTTCTCTGCCATTAATTTGAGTGGCGGCTATTGTTATCTGATCAGAAAAGAGCTCGCCGGAGCCTTTTATGGAAGTAGGCTGCGCAGTGTTTTGTTTCGGAGCTCACTCTTATTTGCCTTTGTCCATCCAGAACCAACATTTCGTACCTGCCTCGAAGCACATTTTTGCACAGTATTACTTTAAAGTGGAATGAATGGGCTGAAACGTGTTGCGTAATCTTTGGCTAGGGTAACGTTTACCGCATGCATGCCTGTTCAGCGAGGCCCTGTGATCTATCATGGTGATGAAAGCAAAAGAGAACTATAGCTGCTGTGGGATTCGCCTTGCATTACAGCGTTTACTTTCATGTTATGCTGTACGCTCTGGCATTTTGACAGCAGATTCACACAGGAAGCAACATGAGTTCATGAAACATTCCATTCACTGTTTAGAAGGCAGGATTCCTCATGAAACATCAACTATGCTTTGGGTGAACTTGAGATATAATTATAATGAAGGTCATTTTTGCTGTAGATTGGATGTCTAAGCAAACATCTAACAAGTTGTTCGTTTTTCATAGGATATTTCTGAGAAGATTAGATATAAGATTTGCCTGCATATGGATGGAGAAAGTCAAAGGAAAATAAGTAAACACAACCACATACAACACCTAGTAGACCACAAAGACTGTCCCCATCAGATAAATCAATCAATAAACCTTTATTTAAACTCAAAGTACGTTGAAGGTGACCCTCATTTGCAATATAGCTCAGCATTATACAAAACAAAGGGATTAGAAAGAGTAAAAATATTTTTTTTGTAGTGAAACATATAGCAAAGAAAATAAAATATGATGAAGAACTTATTATTTAAACAGTACATAAAAATAAAAATTAGGAACAATAAGGCAGATAACACAAATCAGGACAACCAGTTAAAATTATTATGCAGATTAGCAGTAACAAAAGAAAGTAACTAAAACTACTGAATAAGGTAAGAACTGAAACATAGAAAACAATTCTTACTAATAGTAAAGATAAAATAATAAAACTTAAAATAAAATAATAAAATAAATAATAAAATCTGCTTCAGATCTAAAAAAAATCCCAGGTGTTTCTGTCCATCCTTCCACTGTGAGAAGACAACTCAGTGCTATGGGTCTGAAAGGATATGTAGCTGTCAAGAAGAACCTCACTGAGAAAAGGAGACAGACACATCAAACAAAGAAGCTGAACAATGGGCTGACCACCCAAAAGTCCAGACCTCAGCATCACTGAATGTGTTTGGATTGAACGTCTTTGGAGGTGTGTCTGCAGATTTCTTTGAAAAACTGACAGTAAGTCTGCTGAAAAGAATGAACGCACAATAAATTTAAAGAATGGACACAATAAATAACTGAAAAATTATACTTAGTTCTTGAGGCTTCTGTGTCATTTTCTGATGTGATTTTTTTTCTGATGCTGAAAAATGCATACATGGCTGTTTTCACTGGTTTCAAGTTTTTGGTTTAGTAGTTGTCATTAATATTTATTGTCAGTCGTGATGGTGAAAAATGTCAATTATTTATTTATTTACATGACAATTTAGTTTAAACATTCTATTTCCCACTTGTTTTTTAATTGTTAACTGAAGTTCTTTGTCTCTTTCTCTGACAGTATGTGTTTAGCTTGGAGAAATGGGTTCTGACAGGCCTGCAGGGTGGCTATAGCAGTGCACCCCATCCCAATTCACCCTCCGGGATGTCCCCATCCTGTCCTCCGTACTGGATGATGTTCAGTAGTCCTCAAGAGAGCAGGCTAGCTAGCCGCTGGAGCAGCGACTTCTGGGAGCCAAACCCTCGGCCCCGCAGCCGGAGCCTGAACGCGGCTCACTACCGCGCTATGAAAGGTCAGGTGAAATTCACCATTTCTGACTCAGACGATGACGACTATAACGAGGAGGCTTCTTTCCCAGGGAACGAAGGATCAAAATGCAGCACTTCTTCAGGCTCAACAAGACAAGGGCCAGACGTAAAAGACCTGCACCCTCGCTGCTCCTCGAATTTCCTCAACCTGCCTTCGACCTGTGGCCTCTCTGCTCAGCGGCAGGTCAACTTCCGACAGACCTCGCTTTCAGACTCAAAACCTACAGGAAGTAACTTCAGAAGAAGCCAAAGCACAGAGTATAATGGCTCGCATCAGCACTCAGTCAGGCAGTTGGGACACCACTCCTCACGCACCGTACAGGTAAGAAAACCTCACCCTGTACAGTGCCAAAAAAAGTGATCCTGATTTCTTCTATTTTTGCATATTTATTTCAGATCTAAGACACAAACAACCTGAGTAAACATGAAAAGCAGTTTTTAAGTGATCATTTCATTTATTGAAGGAAAAGGTTATCCAACACCAGCTTGCCCTGGGAAAAATAATTACCCTGTTAGTTACTCAGTCAACTATATTTATCTGAATTTTGTTGATCACCATGCCATGTTGAAAAGAAACTGAGGAAAAGGTGAGAAAGACAGTTATTGAGATATATCAGTCTGGAAAGGGTTACAAAGCATTTTCGAAGGCTCTGGGACTCCAGCAAACCAAAATGAGAGCCATTATTTCCAAATGGAGAAAAGATTCACACTGTTCCCAGAAGTGACCAGCCTATCAAGATTCCTCCAAGAACAGGCAGTCACAACGGAACCCAGACGAACATCTAAGAAACTGCAGGCCTCGCTCACCTCAGATAAGGTCAGCATTCTTAATTCCACCATAAGACAGAGAATGGGCAAAAATGGTATCCTGCCATGAGATAGCTGCAAGCTAAAAATCACTAAGGAACATAAAGGCTCATCTCACATTTGCCAAAAAAAACCCACTCTGATGACCCCCAAGCCTTTTGAAAAAACGGCAGCAGCGCGACACATTAAAACACAATGCAGACACGGTCAAGAGCTTCAGTTAATGATTAATGATCACGTCAAACATCAGAATGGGGGAAAAATGTGATTTAAATGGCTTTGATCTGTGTAAGTTGTTAGTGCTAGACATGATTGTTTTATTTCAGAAACTGCTGAGTGAAATTGCAGAAACTCCTGAGATTTTCATGCACTAAAATAAAAAAGTTTTCACAGAGTAGTGCAAAAACAAAAAACATTCAGTGAGCAGCAGTTCTGTGGGAGGACAGAAGAGAATGGCTAGACTTTTTTGAGCTTAAGTGAAGGCTACAGTAACTCAAATAACCTCTTTACAATAGAGGTGATCAGAAAAGCATCTCTGAAAATTGAGGTGGATGGGCTACAACAGCAGGTTGCACTCCTGTATGCCAAGGACATCTGAGGAATCTGAGACAACAGTGGGCACAGGCTGACCCAAACTGGGCAGTTGAAGGTTTCCAGTTGAAGTTTTCCAATATAATAATGCACCAATTTGACAGCATACTTTTGTGGCCTCTCCAGTCACCAGATTTGAATCTAATACAGCACCTTTGACAGAACATGATAGAATGGGATATTCCCAGCATGGATGTGCAGCTGACAAGTCTGTAGCAGTTACATGATGCAGACATGCCAACATGGACCACAATCAGTGTTTCCAGCACCTTGTTGAAGACAAGACATGAAAGAATTCAGGCTGTTCTGAGGGCAAGTAGGGTCATACCTTTGAATGTGTTCTTAATGAAGTAGCTGGTCAGTACATAATATGCATAATAAAATGTGTGTTAAAAAAATGCATAATATAATGTAGGTTTCAAATAGCATACAGAGTCATTTTGAACACCTTTACACACCCACCATGCAGGTAAAAAACACATTGTCTACACTACTATATAATTTTTCTTCCATAGTTTTTCTATGCAGTCCACAAAATAATGCGCTATACAGAGTATATATATATTAGGCCTCAACTGATGTGTATAACCTACATTTTACTTTGTAGAACATAAGATATACGTAATATAGTATAGTATATGTTTAGAGTATACATAATGTAGACTTAAAATGGCGTGTAGTTCTAGTTCTTGTTATTTTATGGTTTCATATTTTGCTCAAATGAGTGAAATGATTGTTTCATTGTAGCCTATATTTTGTCTTTATGTCCTTTCAAGTCTGCCGTACATATTATGTGCACAATTCACTCTGATTCACTTATGCTCTTTATAGTCCTCTTTAAAGATGTGCTCAGAATGCAGACAGTAGGATATTTTATTCACCACAACTAACAGCCTTGGAGCTACTCAAACAGTCCAAAGCTGTTTCACCATTATTCCAAAGCTGTTTTAAATGTATTTCTTGCTGAAGTTAAAATGGAGGCTATTTATGGTATCGAATTAGACTTCAGGCAGCCAGTGTCATTCATACTGTTGACAGCTACTTTCACTATCAGTCTGCGTTTCTCAAATGTCCCTAAAGATGAAGTGGCTAAAAATATCCAGTGCAAAGTCTTTTCCTGGAAACTGCCCAAGCTGCAACAAGTTTGTTGGGATTAGCACATGGAATGGGCTGGTAAATGTCTTTCTCAGCAGAGCTACGTTTCAAGGTCAATCATGAGGTGATGGCATAAACCAGTTCGGTCAACTGTCGCTTTCAACCGTCGCTCAAACCTCCTCTGGCGTCAATATCAGCACAGAAACTGTGCACCGAGAGCATCATGGCATGGGTTTCCATGTCTTACATCACCAAGCACAAAGCCAAGCATTGGATGGAGTGGTGTAAAGCACACTTTTACTGTACTCTGGGGCAGTGGAATCGTGTTTTGTGCCGTGACAAATCACGCTTCTCTATCTGTCAGTCTGATGGATGAGTCTGGGTTTGGTGAAGGCCAGGAGAACATCACCTGCCTGACTGCATTGTGCCAGCTGTAAAGTTTGGTGGAGGAGGGATAATGACATGGGGTTGTTTTTCAGGGTTGGCCTAGACCCCTTAGTTCCAGTGAAGGGAAATCTTTATGCTTCAGCAAACCAAGACATTTTGGACATGCTTCCAACTTTGTGGGAACAGTTTGGGGAAGACCCTTTCCTGTTCCAACATGACTGAGCCCCAGTGCACAAAGCAAGCTCCATAAAGGCATGGCTGTGTGAGTTTGGTGTGGAAGAACTTGACTGGCCTGCACAGAGTCCTGACCTCAACCCCATCAAACACCTTTGGAATGAACAAGAACAGTGTTTGTGAGCCAGGCCCTCTCGTCCAACATCAGTGTCTGACCTCACAAATGCTCTTCTGGATGAATGGACAAAAATTCCCACAGACACACTCCAAAATCTTGTAGAAAGCTTCCCAGAAGAGTAAAAGCTGTTATAGCTGCAAAGGGGGACCAACTCCATATTAATAATAATTAATTGGTGATGAATTAATTTGTAAAAAAAATAATAAATTAAAATGTTTGTTTTTTTTAAATAATTTTGCAAAGGTCACGTTTTGTTCTAGCAAATAAACAGTAATTGTTCGTTTAAAAAGTGTGTTCTCTGTAGAGAATGTGTCCACTTAGTTTTTATATTTTATTTTTATTACATTTTTCGATCGATCTTTGTGATTTGTTTTATTATTATCATTATTATTACACTATTATTGTAACAAATAGTAGTAGTACTTTGAGACACTACTTTAGGAAGACTCATTAATGATAATGATGATCTCAAATATTTCTTGTTCTTGTTCATTTATGCAAAGTTTTAACAGCACATCATCATCCAGGCATTCTTCCCATGGTGATTTTCTCAGCAGCAGTGTACTGTTTCCTCTCTTCTCTGGGGATACTGATTTTTATAGGCTCTGTCGTTGTTTTTTTTTCCCCCTGTAGTTTTCAGACCTGCCCCTGGCCCCCTCGCAGCCGCTGGGTTCCCACGCTGCCTCCCAGGACTCCTCAGTGGAGCTGCTTTCAGCTCTCAGCCCTGAAGAGCAGCAGCTGCTGGAGGCTGTGACGGAGCGCGGCTACCCACTGCGCACGGCCATCATCGCCCTGCAGAAGACCGGCCAGCACAGTCTAGAGCAGGTCAGTGGGGGCGGGATAGCTAAGCTAGTGACTGTGACGGCACTATGAAATTTGAGTTCAGGCTTGGATGCAATACAGAGTCTCTCTTGGTCGTCCTTGAGCATGGTCAATATTTGCACCCACTTTGTCACTGGTGCAGTGTAACCAGACTGTAGCCTTGTGACTCCACTCAGGCACTGTGCACAATGTTCTTACACTTCTATGCACTTCAAGCTTATAGGAAAGTTTGCCCGTTTGGCCGCAATCTTGTGTCCAATCATTGAGACCAGGCTCCTACTTGAGTGGGTAGAGACTCATACTGAATACTGATAACCAGGCCAGCATTTCAAAAACATGCATGAAATCACAGGAAAAATCTCACAAAAATTAAATAATTTGGGCTTAAAATGTATTTTTCAGGTTATTCTGGTTACTGCATATGCACTTATCTCCACAACAAGGAAGATTTCACCTGTCCACAGAGAGTCTGGTGCATTTTGTTGCATGCAAAATAACCAATCACAGACTGTTGTTTAGGTGTGACTTGTAGGGCAATTTTTCAAAACCGTGCTACAACAAAAAACACTTCCACAGGAAACAAGTGTGCCGACAAACTCTTAAGGATATCATGCTTAAAAGCTACAGAGCAGGTTGTGTTTTCTATTGGACTGATAAAACCCGCTGCATGGAAATGCACCCACTAGGTTGTGCAAGTAACCAACCAGAATGCAACTAAGAAAATCCTCACAGTTTTGGCCAGCTCAACATGCATTAGATATCAGACTCTCCATCTATATCTGGGTGGAGCATCTGAGGCTGAGACTAGACCTTTCGGTGCTTTAGGTGCTTGTGTCTTTTTTTTGAAGAGCGGGACTTTCTGTAAAACAGCCGCCATACTGAATATTACGAATTATTCTGTTAAGACTTCATCCAGTGAACTGTCTCCCCTGTGTTTTACAGTGTCTCTGACTTCAGTATGTAGTTCTTGGATTTTGGTGCAGTAATCTCGCTTTAAGGCGAGGCAAGTTTATTTATATAGCACCTTTTATTCACTGCGGTTATTCAAAGTGCTTTACAGATGAGAAGATACAAAGATAATTCAAACTAAAATTACATTTATTTAAAACTACAACTAGTTGCATTTTCCACTTTGAGCACACTACTTCCACTTAAATTGACAAGTACACTAGGGAAGCGTGCTATCTGAGATAAAGCATAGCAACTTGCTTTGATCCAGTTGCATGGTAACACTGTTCCAAACCAAGGTTGTACATATATCAAAGGTTTGGACTCCATTACCCAGAATATCTTTGTGAACTTTTTTTTAACAGCAGTGTCCTTTCCCACCAATCCCACTGGGCATCCTTTGTGGCTTCCTTCTTTCCTTCCTACTTTCTTTCAGCCTTTTTTGAACCTTGGTCAATTATGCAATCATTAACCCATTACAGAGCAAAGACTATGGGTAACAGAAAGTGTGTCACAATACAATTTATAGTCCCAAAATGATATTTTATCATTTTTTAAAGGGCCTAAATCATGTATTTCTTTTTAATAAAAGAGTGATATAGTATGTAAGCATTGTTAAAGGTCCCTCCTCAGTTCATACAGTCCGTATATGAAAATTAAGCTGTAAAAATAGCCTGGTATCATAAAAATTAACACATTTACTTATATCTACCAATTTAGCCTGCAGCATTTTAACCCCTACTATTCATGCTGGTGTTATGAGGAGCATTTTGGCACAGACTGTTCTTTGAATGAGGTGCAACACAAGGCAGCCAATCAGACCATATCTCATTTACAAATATTAGTCTTAAAGTAACAGTAACCAAAAGAAAATCCAAAAATCAAATTTACAAAATTAACCCCAAATGTAGCTAATCGCTCGAGACATATTTGGACTCTTCTTTAATTTAGCGCTGAACTGGTGAGGCTAACATTGCTAACAAACAATAAAACTCAATAGTCACCCAAATCATTTCTGTAAAAATACATCACCAAAACTTCTTTTAACCCAAATAAAATCGCATCCAGGTCTTCATTAAGGTCATGCAGACTTGTTAATGTGATTTTTAATGCACAGTGTGACTTACTGTGAACTATAAAAATCAACAAGACTGGCATCCACTTAAGACAACAGAGTCTGTATTCACAAACCACCTCAGGAGTCGGGGTGCTAATCTATCAGTATCTGTGACAATGACCATCATAAACACTGAGGAATCTGATCCAAGAAAATATCAGCGCTGGTGTTGTCTGAAATGGCTGCCAGTAGTGGTGAAGTTTTGTTCATTTATATAGTTGACAGTAATAAATACTGTGTCCTAAATCATATTGACAAGTTGACGCAACATTAAAGACCTGGCTGCAGTTTGAGTTCTAGTGTAACATTATCCTCAAAGCTCTAGTTTTAAAGTAAAGAAGAAATATTTGGACACCAAACAGGTCTTGGCTGGTCAACAACTGATATAAGTGGAAAATTGGGTAAATTAGATTTTTCACCGAAGTGTACCTTTAAGATAAAGAGAGGCTGGAAAATACTATGTAAAAAATGGAATCATGACCATTTTGGGTGCATAAAAACACACAAATGCGATAAGTGGAGAAAACAAATGATAAACTCTAAGAAAAATGTACAACATGGCCCCTTTAACCATTAAAGCATCTAGAAAATATTTCCCCACTGCTACATATGTACAGGAATTTCAGGAATACGAGGTTATAACATGTCCCCTTTTTGACCTCACTGTGTCCAGCCTTTAAACGAAATGGTACAGAAAGTGCAAAAGCCTGTGTGATACATTTTTCTGGGGTGAGGACATGAGTTATGTAATGCCTGTCATTGCTGCCAGGTTTTTTTTTTATGTACCTACATTCTCCTGCACCATGCATTTCAATGCAGCCCCTCTGTATGGACATAACATCTGGTTCCAGCTACTTTAATCTGATTCTGGTCAAGATGAAGGGGAAAAATAACATGGTAAAAATAGATACCATATCCTCCTAAAGTTTCCACAACCTGCTCCTTGTAACTGGTTCTCAGCATCACAGAGCCTCTCTGAGATGAGTCAGGGGCAAAGCCAGTTAAAAAGATAAGGGCATATTAACAGTGTTACTAATATCATGTGGTTGATGTTACAGCAGCATTGATCTGGTTTTGAGATGCACGGGAAGGTGGAGTTTTAAAGGTGAATTCCACTGATTTTTCAAGAAGTCATTATAATTAATTCATTGAGATGCAATCAAAGTCATTCAGAGTGGTTTGATGTGAAACAGTTCATTGTAGAGAAATTTATCAACTCAGATTTCTTTATGGTGGTGCTGATAGGAACCAGGAGTCTCCATGACTACAACACAGATATAGCCATTTTATTAACTATCCAAAACCACCAGTGAACCTGCACATGTCTATTAAGTTTTTATACGTAATGTTAATGATGGTAAAATAGTGGTTAATCTGAAATGTTTTCTTTGGGAACGGTTTTGCCTTACATGGACCTCTCAGCCAGGAATGGATTAAAAATGTGCTTTAGGCCAAAATGTTATCTCAAAACCATCAAAAAACAGTGTCTCAGACATCAGACAGTGTATTCATAACCATTTCAGTGAGAGAGCTTTTAAAGGCATTAAAATCTTCAGATTTCTAGTTCCTATCACCACCACTGTTTCTCTAGAACAGAGCATTTCACACCAAACCACTTTAAATGAACCGCTTGTGTTTATATATTAACCCTTTACTAATGCAGGAACTTTGAAAAGTCGGTGGAGTTCCCCTTTCAGATCAAAAAGGGTTATAGCCGTTCAGGTGAGGCATGCAGAAAGACTCCCAGTATCAAAGCAGCGACTTTGATGTTAAGCACATTCAGAAGAGTTCAGAATCATGCGGAACAAACTGAATGAGAAGTCGTGAAATCTTAAAAGAGAAATCTTGATCTTCTATGAACTTTTAGACTCGGTGACCTCATGTGCAGTAGCCATAAAAGCCCAGATGACTCAAATATTGCTCAAAATAGTGGAGACATGCTGACTTAACTGCTAAATGAGCTGAAGGAAATTGGCTTTGGGATTCGGCTAAGTCGGCAGATATCTGGGAGCATGGGCTACTGCAAACCACCTTGAGCTGCGTTTTTTTGTGTATGAGATGGCTAAAAAATTCTTCTTCTTTTTCTTCTTCTTATGATTATTGTTATTAACAATAGCATAAAATGCTTATGCTGATTGATCAGACACACTCTCTCCTTCCACTAAAAGCTGGAGGCCTTATCACCACACCATCATACTTCTCACATTCCACACTGTTTCACTTCTCACATTCTCCTGTTTCATCCATCGTGATCCTTAATTATGGTTGCTCCAAACCTGGCTGATGAGCCAGCTTTCTTGTCTATATATATGTGTGTGTGAATTCATTGTCGAAAACAGTGTAGTTGACAGCAGCATCAGCTGAAACACTAAAACTCAAAGTCTGCCGAAGGGCTAAAGCTTTGCAAGAATCCACAAGCATTTAGTTAATATTACAGCAGTTGCATGTTCTTATGTAACTGTCGTTGCTGTGATATAACCAGACCTATGGATGTTCTCCTGTAGATCCTGAGTTACCTGGTGGCATGTGACCGGCTGTGTGAACTTGGCTATGATGAAGCTCAGGTGGAGGAAGCTCTGGAGATGTTTCAGAACTGTGAGACAAAGGTAATTGTCAGGCAGGTGTCCAAAATGACTTTGTAGCATATTGCATACTCTTTATGCTGAAGATGCTGCAAGATACTGCAATATATTTAAAATGCAATGGTGAATACATAATCTGATAATAAGGTTAACAAGGATTGGCCTGCACTGTTGCAATCATTTTGGTCAAGATGATTGGTCAAGATTCTTACAGTGCAGAGTAATAAGCATTGTGGTTGGTTAGAGGGCTAATTTGCACATTGCAGCCTTTTATGATATCAGTATTGCAAAGGCCAGTATTGCGACAACAATTAACAAAAGATCTGTTGTGCAGCCCTAAGACAAATAATTCAGAAACATGCTATTTATATATTCTAGTGATGTATTCTTTCTATTTATGTCATGTCATCAAATGCAAGACATCATAGCTAAACAGCAGCTTGAATCAGCTCTTTACCATTAGTTTACTGTCATGCAAAAGCTTGTATACCCCCTTCCAATTACATGGTTTGTTGATTTTCTAAATGAAAGTTGAATTTTTTCTGCCAATTTTAGGGCACAATTTTTTGAGTTTGACATATTGGACAAAAATAAAACATAAAATATAAAATGCCATAACATTTTATATAACAGGCAACATTTTATGTTTTTTCCTACTCAATATATTAAATTCAGCGAACAAGCAGTAAATGTGCATTAAAATGTGCAGTGTGTTCTCTATAGAGGATGTTTAAGCTTCTTTTCACCTAAAAAATAAAAAAATAAACAAAACGTCATTTGACCAGGGGCGCCAAAACATTTGCACATGGCTGTAGTATTATTTTGTGTCAGTAACCATGTCGTCAACATGTTTTTGTGTATGTTTTAGGCCTCAGGTATTAGATTTACAGGTTTTTGCCATTACTTTTACTAACATGTTGTTGTCTTTTAGGCCGAGGAGTTTCTTCACCTGCTCACACAGTTTCATGAGATGGGCTTTCAGCAGAACGCTATCAAAGAGGTGCTGCTTGTTCACGAGAACCACCGTGAGCGTGCCCTGGAAGAATTAATGACACGTGTAGCCTGACCAGATCAACCTAGCCATGTGTACATAGTTGTTGGCTTTGCTTAGGATTACAATCATCAGTATGAACTGTGGCCTTGATGGGAAAGCAAAGCTTCTTGATGTCCCTGATAGAAGCATGAAAGAAAAGAGCAGTGCAGCTTGTGGACACTTACAGAGAATATATGCTTTTTTGTTATTCCCTTATACAATACCATGATCATTCTAGTGGATATTAAACGTCTAAACACCCTTTTTGAAATTGTTTTTGTGATGTAAAGCCATAAATGAAGATAAATCATATCAGGTATTTTCCATCTTCAACTAGATCTTACAGTTGTCAAAATTCAAGAGAAAAGAAATAGAAAATTATTTAGAAAAATAACTGAAAATAAAAAACCTACAGTACACTGGTTACATAAGTGTGCAAATCCCCACAGCTGATACTTTGTTGAAGTACCTTTTACATTTATTACTGCAGTAATCTTTAAAAGTCTTTGTAAATCTTTCACACCTGGACTTTCATCCCACTCTTTCTTGTAAAAAAATTCAAGCTCCTTCAAATTGCCAGGTTATCTCCTGTGCACAGTCCAGTTTAGGTAATTTCACAGGTTTTCTGAGGGACATTCTGAGGCACTAATCTTCCTTTTTGATACCATTCCTTGGTGGTCGTGGATGTGGGGTTTGAATCATTATCATTATTATTGGAGCTGGTCATTATCCCATCCATCTATCTTGACTAGAACTGAAGAGAAGCAGCCCCAAAACATGATGCTCCCACCACCATGCTTCACAGTAGGTATGGTGTTCTTTAGTTGAAGAGCTGTGTTGTCGTTGTGTGATCTTACTAGATTCCGACCAAAAACTTTGTCAGATGGCGTGGATGATTTTTTGTGAATAATGGCTTCTACCCTAAAGCTCAAACTTATAATACGGGGGACAGCTGTCACATGTAAGGAGTGGCCAGGATTTGCCAAAAATTCCACCAGCTTTTTTGCTGTTAGCCTCAAAGTAGCCTTTTGATAACTTTTCTTTTTATCTTGTCATCAACTTTTGAAGGTTTTTCTGATCTTGGAAACATTTTTCCACACTTTGATGAGAGTCTTCACAGAGCTCTGTGGTGCATCCATTATTTTTGATATTCTTGTTTACCACTGTCCTGATCTGTACCTTTTAACGGTAAGGTTCTGTAGATGTTTTGTCAACTACACTTGTACCATAGCGATCTCAGAAGAATGTGATCAGGAAAATGGCAGGAACAGCTGATTTATTTATTTATTTATTTAGGTTCATCTGGATTACTTTCAATGATGGCAGATGTTTGCTGCTTATCTTCAGACATGATTTTGAACATAATTTGTTATCTCTGAACACAGCTGCAGGCCCCCATTATAAAAGGGTGTGAACATTTATGCAACCAGGTTGTTGTACTTCCATTTTTCTCTGGAAATGTGCTGTTGGTTGCAGTATCCCATTGCAAATTAAAAAACATCTGACCTGATTTATCTTCTAGCTTTACAGCACAAAAACCTGCAGTTTCAATAAGGATGTGTAGACCTTTTATATCCACTGTAAAAACCTTTACCACTGACATTTTATTTAACAATGTAAATTGTTAACTTATGTCTTAGAAATGCATTTCATCTGTTTACATGACTGAACCCTTCTAATTGTATGTTTTTATTATATAATGTATAATATGCTAATTTATTTATACAGTATGAGTGTATAGAATGTGTTATTTGATTTTACTCCATGCAACATGAGGGTATGTGTATTCTTTAAAGTGCACTGTCTGCATCCCTAAAGAAATGTCCTCAAATAACCCCTCTAATCACTCACTTCTTAAGATGGAGGATAACAATTAACTAATGGGCTGTTTTCCAAGGAATACTTGGCTGATAATGGAAGATTAAAGTAAATCTAAACAATGGCCGCTGTGTCTCCTCATTCTCCACCTCCAGAGCAGACTCACTTTAGAGAACAAATCTGCTGTCAGAAAGTTCAACAGCTCTCCTCATTTGTCAGGTTTGTAATATTTACAAAACTTCTTATATGGCCATGTTCTTATAGAATGTTTAAAAGTAAAAAAAAAAAGTCTTAGTGAATGGAGACTTGACAAAAGCTGTCTGGGCTGTTGATGGACTCCACATAGAAGAACGAGTGTTTTCTTTTGTGGCTTGTATTGTTTTGCCCCAGTGTTAACGATCTAATGACTAAACTCACTTCAGTTTCTGTAGAAACATGAGAGAACTTTCCTTTCTGTAGACATATGAGAAATACGATGGTTTTGAGATCTTAAGATATTCGTGATAATTTTTTTGGCCATCTTTCCTGCTCTGGCAGTCAGTTGTAACTGGCCTTTCATGACCTCATCCCTCTGGCATGAATGATTAAGAGATTTGAAACAGACAGAAATTTAGGACATTTTTTCTGCTCCCAGTAAAATTTTCTGTAACCGTGGAAACAAAACCTACATGCTCGTAGTACCTGGAGGTAATCTTTCATATCTTAATTATTTAGTTCAGTTCATTTTTAATTTCCAGTGGCCATTCCACTAGAGCAGGGGTCAGGTTTTCTTGCATCTCCAGCAGGAAACTCTGCAACTCTGCAAAAGTAGAATCGTTTCTTGTAAAAAGTCTCTCAACGTTCGTCTTTTTGCAAAGCTGAAGTCAGCTTCTCATCCACCAGCTTCTTGTTCGAATTTTCCTGTTCTACCTTAAAAGGTGCCTGAGGTGCCAGAATGTAGGCCTAACTATGGAACCATTTAAGCTGGAAGGGGAAATTTCAAACAAGAAGCTGGCGAATGAGAAGCAGACTTACTGTAAAGGAGGATTATTTTATTTTAACCTAAAAATCTAATTCTGCTGTGGAGCCACAACAGGGCGGTAAAAGAAGAGCCGCATGTTGCCGATCCCTGTGCTAGAAATGGAAATTGACTTTGATATTTTTAATAAATATAGTCAAATAAAATATGTCTTCCCCATAAATCTGTTATTAGAATAACTAGGACACGGTTGTCTCTATGTGTGTGCAATGTTGTGACTATGTTGAGCCGCTAGTGAGCAATGAGGGGGTGAAAGAGGAGGGGCGAGAATCCCCCACTGCGAAAACAATTCCTGTCTCTCCACTAAGACATACTGTGCTGAGATAATACAGACAGCACAACTACAGCTTTCTTCATATCAAAAATGTGTGTACAACTACTACAATTAAAATAGCATTTAAATACAATAAAAACAAGTAAGTGTAAGTAAGCACTTGATCTCTGTAAAACAAAGTCAAACACAAATTATGTTCCAGGGCACAATGATGATTTTGCTTCATTCTTATTCTAAGGCAGAAGTAAGTAATGATAAATCAAATGTTAATAATTATTTATCAACACTGTTTACTAGCTATTTCTGATGTCGATTACAATGCACGCTAGTTCTGAAGGGCAGCAGCTTTTCAGTATTTATATATATATATATATATATATATATATATATATATATATATATATATATATATATATATACACACATAATTTTAAGAGTTGTTGCAAGAAAACCTGAACACAAACTGAATTTGCAGAGATATTTTGCATTTCAAGAATGCAGCTCATTACAAAGGATTAAAGTGATGTTTCAAAAAATGTTCAGTTACAAAGATTTTGATTTACATACTTTCATACATACTGTATACACATGTATTTATGGACCATAGATATTTTTGCATGCATTTTGTGTATATATATATATATGAATGTGTGCTAAGCATGTATTTCATCTACTGCTATTTGACATTTGTCATTTTTGGGAATATGTAATATATTAATATGTAAACAAGGCAGTTTAATGTTTTGGATGCTCAGTTTTTGCTTTTTGACAATGGAGACTTGATTTCTGCAACATTTCATATACACAGTTTAAGTGAAGGACTTTCAAAATAGGCAGAAACACTGTGAAATGGGATTAAAATGTGTTTAATTGCATAAAATCAATTGATTTAAAGTTAATGAACTATCAGTGCTTTATTAGGATGAGAAAATAAGTGCAAACAAAAACTAGACACAGATGACATGGATGCAGTACACAATACACATTTGGAGCATTGCATTTTAGCATTTGCATTCTTTTTTGGCTCATTCAATTCAGCAATATAGTAGAAAGAACAGCGTCTGACCTGAGTCATGGAGGAAGTGTGTTATTTCAATAAATAATCACTTATTTAAGTCTGTAGACTAACCAAATGATTATATTTAAGTGAGTCAATCATAGCATTCTACAGAAGAGCTTGGAAGGTCAGAAGGGACTTCAAAATGTTGGCCACTGGTCAAATCTGGCTTTCCCAGAGGCTCTTTGCTTTTCTTTGGCAGTCTCAGGAGAAAAGTCCACATGGAGCCAATTCTTGGAAACCCCGTCATCTCTTTTTTCGTCCTCCATTTGTTGTCCTCAATGGAATACTCCACTGTCGCTCTACGATTCACTGTAAAAACAGAGTCGCCCCTTACCACTGCCGTGAACAAAGCCCCTTTGCTGTTCTCGTAGTGTCCCGGCATGGCTGTCCACTGACCTGTGGTCAGGTTGTAGGTGTCTATCATGCATCTCAAGAAGTCATCACATGGCCCATTCCTCATTACATACAAGCTGTCCCTGTGGGCCACTATGCAATGTCCATAACTTTGATGTCTTATGAGGGTGGTCACTAGAATCCACACGTCCTTGACTGGTAGGTATTCGTAAATCTCTGTGGCATCTTTAGGTTTCCAGAGACAGATGAAGATCCTACCCATGCTCTTGGTGCAAGGTACCGCCAATGCAGGTCTTGGAAGATGGGCAGAAAAGCTCCATGTGTCTGTGGAGATGGTATACTTTTCAACAGATGACATGGTGGTTCTTTCATACTCACCACCAAGTGCATAGAGGGAACCTTCGTATCCTACCAAGGTACAGTTATAACGAAGTTGTTGGGGACTAGAAAATGTGCTCCAGGTATCTGAGGCCACATCGTAGCAGAAGCCAGAGTCTATGACTTTATTGCTAATGTTGTACACACCACCAACAATGTAGAGCTTGTTATCCAGAACCGTAACCCCAGCCATGGTGGTGCTAGCATCAAGCGGTAGGTGAGTGAGGACTTTCCAGTCTTTCTCATCTTCATCGAGATAACAAACCGTCCTCATGAAATCCTGAAGGAGCTTGGTGCTGGGAGAATAAGTGCCGACCATAATGTATGTACTAGGAATGAGAGATTCAACGTAATCGATTAGTTCCTTTGGCAAACAACTCAGATGCTCCTTCAAGTCTTGATACATGTCACAAATAAACAAGGCTCCTCTCTTAAAAAGTTCCAACAAGCCATAAGTAGCAGCTGTGTGATACATGAGAAGGCAGTTATCGGAATTGATGATGTTTATGAGGTGCCGGACAAGAGGCTGCACCTGAAGGAAGGCGGCACACTCTATGGCTTTGAAGATGTCATCATCGCTCAGAATAGGTCTCTCACCATGTATCACCTGGAGTGCAACCAGAAAGCCACGAGCACTCACTGCTTGGAGGTGAATCTCCTCCTGCTGGCATTCCTTCATTCCTGATTGGAAAAGAGCCCGGAAGTATTCGCAGTTGTCTTTCAGGAGCGCTTTGTCCACTGTGAAAACGCTTCCTTCTATCCTAACTCTGACTGAAGGCTTCTCCACGACCAGACCTTCACAGACTTTTGCAGCTTCACATTCTGAGCCAGCACAGCTGCTGGGCTCCATCAAGCTGGTACAAGTGATTTTCATCTAGGTTTGCGGCAAACAGGAAATCTTTGACGGGATTCAGGGCACCTGGTACTTCATCGCAACAACGTCTCCTTCAGTGACAGCACTAACTGGGCTGCTGCACAGCCGCGAGAGATATATGCAGTTGACGGAGTGTCCACTGTTTGCGTTTCCATTAACAGCTACAAGAATAGAGCTGGCTATACATAGAAGCGAGAAGCATGGCAGCAGTGTCATACATTATGCCACAGTGGTAACAGAGACAGCTGAAAGAGAGTGTGGAGAAAGCAGAGGCAGGTCACTGAGGCTGTAAAGGGCAGCCATTCCCCTTGTGATTTATCACCTTTTGTTCTTGGTTGGATTTTGGAGCATGTAAATCTGATACCCACATCACAGAGCAGGTGCATTGCTTGGGGACACAACAATAGCATCACTGCCAGGGTCATGCTCTGGCATGGGCTCAATATACCAATTGTCTTGCCACACGTGCTCGCTCAGAATTAAACTTTCCTCCTTGAGGTTATGTAATGTGACAGCATGATTGACCTAATTAGTGACCCAAGAGTAAAGTGTCTTCCAGGCGGAATGCTTGGATGTGATGTGGCAGATAACCAATTCTCTATTTATTCTCATCCAATGCCATAGGCGTCCTGTGAGTCGAAAGTTTGTTTTCTCCTGTATCCTGGTTACATGGTGCTTATATGACTCCAAAAGGATGATTGTGAAGTGATTCTTTAATTATAGGAACTTTCAAATGAAAAAAAGAGAAAGATTTCAAAAATGTTAAAGAAAAAAGATGTTTAGAGAAAATACAGCTTTTTTAGTAATAGTAATTGTAATAGCAGTTCTAAAGATTTTTGACCGTAGCCTTTTATCTAGGTAGAAAAGTAAAGACCTATCCCCCACCCAGACTCTTCCACTTCTAATAATAAACTTATACAAGGTGTTTAGTACATTAAGCCTTTGTATTTTCACACAATAACTTAACTATGTGCGATTTATGTGTTTTATATGTGTAAAATAGTATATTTCATAATGAATTTGTCCCCAATTCTGCTGCTATCAAAATCTGAACTTACCTCTGGCAAAAGACTGATGTTTAAAATATGCTAAATTAACCTTACATTGGAAATCCATCAATTTTTCAAAATTTCTAGATAATTCAATCATTGAGATGTAACTCATTCAGGTCATTTGATGTGAAGTGGTGCATTATAAAAAAACACATAGATTTCTTTACAGTAGTGGTGCTAGGAACCAAGTGGCAATGTCCACAACACAAATATAGCCATTTAATTTACTAACCAAAACCAGCAGTGAACCTACACAAGACTTTTTGATGATAGTAAAATAGTGATAAATCTGAAGGAACAATTTTTAAAAGATTTTTCTGCCTTACTGCGCCCTGCATCTCTCGAATATGAATGTAATTTACAAAATTTTTAAGGGTAAAATCTTTTCTATAAACTTATCTTAGAACAGTGTCTCAGACATCAGGCAGTGTATTCATAACCATTTCTTACCATGTATTAAATTTCTGTGACAGAGCTTTTAGAGGCATTAAACTCTTCAGATAGTCTGGTTCCTATCACCGCCACTGTGGACCGTTCTGACTCAGCAAGTTTCTCTTGAATAGAGCATTTCACACCAAACCACTCTGGACTCAACCATTTAATTATAAAGAAAATTTGCAAAAGTCAGTTGAATTCCCCTTTAAATCCCATCAACGGGAAAAAAGTAACTAAATGACACTAAATGATTGTAAAATTATTTAGCAAATGCATCTACGATTTTCTTTCTAATTTTGGTAATACCACACTGAGTTGTGATGGTAAGTTGCAATATAAAGACACTAGCTTTGATGACATCTCTTCAGGATCAACAATAAAACGTTTCTTTTTTCTCCTTTAGATCCACTCATATGGAAATCTGATATATCTGCATATACACATTTGTATCATAAAAGTTCAGGCATGCATTTAAAAAAATACAGCTCATATATATATATATATACTGTCTGTCTGATATTCCTCTGATACAAACACCAATTATTTTTAAAGCAAAAAATGAAACACACCAGCAACACACATATAAAAATAACAATAAATAATAAAAAGCCTTATATTTAATAGAATGCAGTTAGCCTATATGAGTGATATATGCCATCCATATAGTGTAGTAATAATGTAGTCTATAATATCTATATCTGAGATCCACATATTCCCACACATCAGATTTCCGGATGGACAAACTGACGCTTGAATGGTTGGCTGATCTGAGATGTTTAGTTTGGAGGCGTGGTTTCCACACAGCCACGCCCACAGGAGCCCCAGCATCCACACACCAACTCAACTGAACCTCTAGTTCTTCCCGTCCTTTCTGGCGGTCACACTTTCCACAGTATGAGCTGTTCAGCCAGATGACCTTCTTCAAACAGCGTCTAGATGCGTTTCGGGAACTTGGAGGAAGTCGAGTGCTCTGCGGGTTTGCTGTGTGTGACTGAGAGATGGCGCCCAGTGGAAGGAATCCGAGAAGACCCCTCGGGACTCAAAAAACAGCTCAGAGACCACCTAGCAGAGCATCCAGAAGCTAGGTGAAGAGGAGCCGAGAGACTTTGCAGCTCTGTTTCCAATGCAGCCTCCTGCTCAGAATGGCTCTCATGTTTGGGAAAGCTAGAACGTGCAACATCGTGACGGTGCCAGAGCACGAGCCTGCGGAGTGCAATGTGGCTGTTCTGGGAGCTTTGGGTTCTGGCAAATCAGGTAAGATATCTATAATAGCCTCTACTTACGGGTGATTTTGTCTTTTTGGCAGTTTGCAGTTTATTCCTCAGACCACTGGTTCCTATCCCTGGTCCTGGAGAACCCCCACCCTACACATTTTGGTGTTTCTTCTTGCCCCAACATTCCTGATCCAACTAATCAGTTAATCAGTAAGACTTTTCTTAGTTTAAGCAGGTAAGTTACAGGAAAACACAAAAATGTGCAGGACCTTAGGCATCCCCATATGACATCCCTTCTTAATAAAAATAACATGTGGCCACAACTTAACTACCTCGTTCCCACGCCTTACTAAATCGTGGCTGTGCGTTAGGATCCTGTTCCTATGCCTTACAAAGTCATGACCATGATGTAACTATCACACCTTAATTATCTCTTTCCCACACGTTTCTAAAATGTGGACGAGTATTCGGATCCCATTCCCACACCTTACTAAGTTGTGGCCATGACATAACTATCACACCTTAATTGTCTTGTTTTCACACGTTTACTAAGTTGTGGTCATGCATTAGGATCTTGTTCAAACACATACTAAGTCTTACTGAGTTGTGGTCATGGCTTAATTACCTTGTTCCCATACCATACTAAGTTGTGGCCAACCATTGGGATTTTGTTCCCACACGTTAAGAAGTTATTTTTATTAAGAAGGGATATCACCAGTGGAGCTCTGTAGGCTGTGCTAGGTAAAACCTGTTTATGATTATGGTGGAGAAACTGATTTATTTAGGGTAGGGTAGACACCCTAAAAGTTCAATAGTTTTTGTTCCTTGCATTACAACACAAAAACTGTAGGCGGAAATCATTTAAGTTTTCTACACATTTTTTTTTATCTATCTGTTAACAAATTGAGTATCAAAAATGGAAATGGGAACCAGTGATGTTACAAAATGCAATTACACATTTCCACCAGAGAGGTCTCCAAATCCCAAAAACTTACATAGTGTACCATTAAGTGGAGATGCGAATTTATCTATGATAAAAGTAAGAAAGTGAAAATGTTACCTTTAAAGTAAACTTATGATGATGTCTTTGAAGCAGATATGTGTACAGTTAAAACTTCTCACACTCAAAAAGGATGATGGTATGCATGTGCAGTATTAATAGGGCACTCGAAACTTGTAATGTAACAAGAAAAATAACATGTTACAACTATTCCCAGTCTACCCTACAGTGTGCAAGTCTCAGGGGGCGGAAGTGCCTACTCAAATGTCATATTTCATGAGAATGTTTTTGGGGAAATGCACTTCCCATGGCCCCGTGAGACCATATGTTATATAACTGACTGTAATTTCATGCTTGTAGTCACAGGAAGTTTGTGTCCCCTTTTTGCAGCCCTGACTGTGAAGTTCCTCACAAAGAGGTTCATTAGTGAATATGATCCAAATCTCGGTAAGTTGCACTCAATGTGTCCAACATGTTGTCCTTTGATCATTTATGACTCCACGTCCAAAGACAAATTAGACTGATTGAAGCAGCAGAAAATCATCTTAGTGTAATTTTTTGAGAACTTGGCATGATTGGAGTGGGGAGCGGTCCAATACTTCAAGGCTTTCAGTTCGCATGTAAGTCTTTGAAACTGGTTAATAAGCCGCAGTTATAATATATCACGATCATCTTACTCAAATCATAACCTGTTAAGTCATTAGTCATATGGTGGGCAGATGGATTGCAGAGACAATGTTGATTTTTATCCTAAGAGGAACAACTCGTCTCAGTCTGTTACATAACTGATGTGGTGAGAATGGACAGTCAGAGCTTTGATGCTGGAAAAAGGAGTGCAGTTGATGTCAATAAGTCTGATGAAAAATGTGTTGTAGATTTTCCTGGAAAGAAAACGTTTTTTTTACGTTCTGTTTTGTAGAGGACACTTATTCCTCAGAGGAGATCGTGGACCAGCAGCCAGTTCTGGTCAAAGTGATGGACACGGCCGACCAGGTAATTATAGTGCTTTGATTGAGTTTTATTTGAAACAGACACACTGGAGGAACATTCGTCTGCTTGAGGAGACGTATGAGTAGCACGAGGGATGAACATTTCTGCTTAGGAACTTTCTGTTTAGTGGCCTTTTCTCAACCAAAGATCAACAAAAACATGTAATTTGCCCAAGGGGTGGCCAAACTTTTACATAGTGGGTAAAAAAGCCAGTTATATTGTCAATTTTTCATTAAAAGTAATTTTATTAAACTTCTTAACTTCTGTTTGGCGCTGCTGCCATGGTAATGCTGAATGATGGCGCACGTGCAGTGGAAGAAAAGCATGTGTATTCCGATCTGAGTGTTCACATTAAGGTTGCATGACCACGAATCGGATACACATCTGATCTAGGACCACATATAAAAGTGGCTCAGGTCAGATTTGACCTCACAACCTCCTCACATGTGTGTGTGCTCTGCATTTATACTCATTTGCTTCCATCATATGGGTTTGTCATACAGCTCCACACACACACACACACACACACACACACACACACATCTGAGGTAGTGAGATAGCTTCACAAGGATGGCAGAGAAAGTTACACAGGTACCTACAACAGCTTGTGCTGCTAAAGAAAGAAAGAAAAGAAAGACAGAAGTAGAAAAGTCTTCGAGCAAAGAGAGGTTGAGCAAAGCAAAAGGCCAAAACAGAGTCACCTTCGGTGTGGCTTTCCAATGGTGGCAAGCCTAAGGGAGCTAAAAGGCCTGGAAAGTGACGCTAAGGTTGCCCTTTTTCTGTTGGACTTATGTAGCCAATGTAGTTAGCTACTAATGTAGTTACATTATGTATTAGCCCAACACTAATGTTAGCTAAGCTCTAGATCTAAGCTAGCTAGCTATGGTTGTCTTGTATGTGATCTGTGTGTGTATTGCTGTTGTCGGAACAAAAACTTGTATCTCTACAATGGTAACTTTACAGGAGAAGGAAAAATCCTACTTTACTTTCAGTGTAAGTCAATGAAACCAGGCATTTTTCCAAGTAATTTTGGGCTGTTTCTTTTGGTCCATTCGGCATGAAATGTACACACAATGTAACAGGCAACAGGCATTTTCAGATTATGTCAAAAACTGAAAAACGACAAAAATGGAGATACAGGGTTTTGTTCCGACAGCAGCTGTATGTTTGTAGGCCATGCGCATTCATATGTTTTGGGGGAGCGCCTTTAAAGGGGGGGCTGAAAGTAGAGGGTGGGATTTTTTCAGTTGGATGCGAATGTTTTATGATGAATGGACCAAAAGAAATGGTTAAAATTTTATGATGTTTTTGCCGTTTCATGTAAACGTACCATTTTGGAAATACTGTTTTTGTTCGGACAGCAACGATATTCTGTTTCTGTTTGTTTGCCATCAGGATGGGCCAGTAAACTGTGAGCGCTACTTGGGTTGGGCGAGCGCATTTCTTATCGTCTACAGCATTGATAACAGATACAGCTTCGAGGTGAGTCAGCAGTATCTGGAGACTGTGACGCTGTACACCAAAGGCCTGCAGGTTGAGGCTCCCATCATTCTACTGGGCAACAAAGTGGACATGGAGAGATACAGGTACATCTCACTATGTTGTTTCAATGTTGGACACAGAATATCATCACAAATTGCAGGAAATTAAGATTTTCCTCCTTCTCATTACGACAGTCAGGTTTTTAAGCAACTGACCAACACTATAATTGGTAAAAAGGTCTGGACATTGTACAGTATTATAAAGGGGTTAAAATATAACAATGAAATGTTAAAAATTTTACAGCAGCAAACAGACAAAGAATATTACTTTGTACTTTTATTAAATCAGCATAAGAACAAACTCCTTTGAGTTCTATTTAAAAAACACTTAAGATTTATGATCTGAGGTAGACAGATATAAAAACACTATGCTCAGTATTACTATAAATGATTTTGAATCATAACCTTTATAGTGCTTAAATATTTAGAGATGGATTTGAGCAGTCAGGAACTCTTTGCTTTCTCTCATTAAAGGCGAGGTACTTTGGCTGTCCAAATCAAAATGGTCATCTAACAGCTGGCTTTGATCTCGCTGAATGTGCACCTGTAATTATTTACGTAACAGACTAAGTGGGTAGTTTATGTCAGGAAGGCTTTTAAGTAAAGCTGTTATATTGCGTGCAGGGTGCCAGCACTTCCGTGTGTGGGTCAGTAGACGTGTTTAATCTTTCATGGAGTGGGTGGTCGATCTTCTGTAAAGATTTATCTGATGGCATCAAGGTTAGAAGTATGTGTGTATTTTTTGCTTTTAAAAATTTGTTTCAGGCTAAACTTTTAGAAAACAGTGTTTCAGACATCAGGATTTATAATAATAACTGTCTGTGCAGGAGCTTTTAGAGGTATTAAATTCTTCAGACGTCTGGTTCCTATCACCACTACTGTGAACAGTTCTGACTCTAAGTTTTCATTAGAACGCAGCATTGTTTACATCTGAACCATGTAGTTATACCAGAAATTTTAGAAAATCGGTGGAATTCCCCTTTAAAGCAATAGTATGGGTTTAAGAGTAGCTTAGAAGAATGGAGAAGCTTTTATGTTGAACCATTTTGGGCAGCAGCACTCATTCTGCTCTCTCTCTCTCTCCGCACCCCCCCCCATACATTTTCATTTTCGTTCTCTCTCATTATAATTTTCTTTCATATTTTTTTCTTTTTTCTCTTTCTTATTTTCTTTTCTCTGTGTTATTCTCCTCTCTCTATCCCTCACGTTCTCTCTCTCTCTCTCTCTCTCTCTCTTCCTCACTCTGTCTCTCTCATCTCTTTCTGTCTGTCTCATTATTCTTTTCTCCCTTTTTTCTCATTCTCTCTTTCTGTCCTCTTTCACTTCCCCTTTCTGTTGTCTCTTTCTCTATCTCTTGCTCACCCACTCTTTTTCTCTCTCTCTCTCTCTCTCCTTCTGTCTGTCTTTCTCCCCCTCTCATTCTAATTTTCTCTTTTTATCTCTCATTCTCTTTTTTCTTTTTATCTCTCTGTCATTCTATTCCCTTTCTCTCTCTCCTCACTCTCTCTCTTTCACTCTCTCCTTTGTCTCTATTCGTTGCTCTTTTTCTATTTCTTTTCCTCTTTCTCACTCGGCTCTGTCTTTCTATCTCTTTCTCTCTACCTGCTTCCCTCTACCTCATTCTCTCTTTTATCTCTCATTCTCCCTCTTCCTCTCATATATCACATTATCTCTCTCTTTCTTTCTCTCTTTCTTTCTCTCTCTCTCATTCTCTCTCCCCCTCTCTTTATTCTCTCACATTCTTCCTCTTTTCTTTCTTCCCCTTTCTCTGTCTCTATTCCTGCCTCTCTCTCTCAGACAGGTCAGTAAATCAGACGGAGCGTCTCTGGCTGCCCGCTTCAGCAGTCTGTTCTTTGAAGTGTCCGCTTGTCTGGACTTCTCATCTGTTCAGCACGTTTTTCACGAAGCGGTCCGTGAGGTCCGGCGTGAGGCAGAGAGAAGCCTGTCGGTCCGGCCACTCTTCATCAGCGAAGACAGACCCACTATCAGCCTCTCGGCCGCCCCTCCGCTCCTGCCTTGCTACAAGGAGCTGCCCACCCCGGCCACCGCCAAGCTGGTGACCGTCAAGTCCTCAAGAGCTCAGAGCAAGCGCAGGGCCCCCACACTGACCCTCCTGAAAGGATTCAAGATTTTCTAACTCAATGCTGCCCCCTGCTGGCAATGGGAGATAAATGGTTCAGATGGTCCTCATAGACTTTTTGAGTACCCCACAAGGATGTTTCGCTTAAACGGCTCACTGAGTCGTAAATACAACTTTGCTACAATATTAACACAGTGAATCAAGCTGGCAACCAAATAATAACTTTTTTTTGCAATGAGTGATGCTATTGATCCATTACAGTTAACATACGTATTGTAAACGTGAGAACTTTACCTGATGACCTCAGTGCAAACATGTCATTACGATTTTCCAACTTTACGAGATGACCTGGCCTGTCTGAATGCACCGACAGTCAGAACTCACTCAAGGATACTTAAGACATCGACCTGCTGATGACATTACCACATTAGTATCAGACTGCCCCTTTAAATCTTTTTAAAATGGGCTTGAATGGCTGCTTATGCAAGTTACCTTAAGTGCTTTATTCCGTGTACTGTAATAGACACTTTAACTTGTAGTCACTGCTGGTAGAGATGGCACAATCTCACATTTACTTTTCTCATCATATTGAAATCTTGCGTATCTGCCTTTGTAGATCTGATATTTGTTTCTTTAAAAACTTCTAAGCTTTAAAATAAGCTATTTCTAATTAAAGCTTTTCATTTAAGATGATCATCCAAAAGTAGCCTGTTCTTCTCAGACTACTCAATCACTCTATTGACCCCACAGGAAGAACTACACAGTTAAAACATCACACAGTGTGAGTGAGTGCTGTTTCAGGGCAGATTTGTTACAGGACTGGATCACATTCATTCTTTTTTTACATCCAATGTCCCATCCAGCATTTTAATTAGGTACTTAATTAAAACTAGTACCTAAACCGAATATATTTATGGCAGGATGTTCTATGTGTCAGAGCTGATTGATAATCTTGACCATAAGTGCCAAGTCAACAAACTAAATCAGAGAAAACAAGGTTTATAAACTTGCTTTCATACACCGAATTCAACTTAGGGCAAGTGCTAATTATGAAATTACGTCTAGCAGAAGCTGCATTCATCAGTTCTTCTCTGCACAAAGCGTTCATTGTCCATTTGTGGCTAAATGAAAATAGAGCAACACCCTGTGGCTGGTCTGGACATTACAGTCAGACTTTGCTTTGGCCTCTGCCTCCTGTAGTCCAAATGTTTGTAGACATCTGCTCATCCAGCGTTTCTTCTGAAAACAGGGCTGTTAACAGGGAGTGTGCCTTTTGCTGCAGTAACAGCCTCTACTCTTCTGGAAAGGCTTTACTCTAGATTTTGGAACATTGCTGTGAGGATTTGATTGAGTAAAGCTACTGGATGGAGCTCCATCACTCCAAAGAACACAGTTCCACTATTCCCCAGCCCAATGCTGGGGGCCTTTATACCCCTCTACTCCACGCTTGGCATTGAGCTTGGTGACATTAGGCTCACATGCTGCTGCTCCAGTGGAGATTATACAAGCTATATGTGTGCACCTGAACGCCTGGGTCAGCAATGTGTGCACCTTAAAGTAGCTGAATTCACTAATTAAAAAGGTTGTCTGAATACTTTTTGTACAACAGCTTTCATTTATTGCATTACCTTGAGCCACTTTTTAGTTTTGTCATGGGCATTTAATGGATTTGTTAAGTGTAAGCTTCACTCAGATGCACTTAAATATGCATTCTGACCTAAAACTTAATATGTATTGTCACGTTATGGAGTATTCTGTAGTGCAGCGTTCAGCTTCATTGGTTTGATAGACTCAATTTTGTATCAGCATGCAACCACTGGAAACATCCCCCTGTCGCAGTGAAGAAATCCTGACTGATGCAGAGACTGATAACACAAACCTCATTACATTAGCTACATTAGCAAAGTAACATCCGCTGTCTGGCTTCCTTCTGCATTAGTGAGACACCCATTAAATGCCAAAGATATGGTTCTGCACCAGTTTTTTTCTGAAGGGTGTCAGTTGTAATGACCAAACCTTTGGCACCTTAGTGTTATTCCATACTTCACTTTGTTGTAAATCATGTTTGTTGATAACAAAACAAAATAAATGTTGCAGAGTATATTTTGTCCACAGTCTACTGTACTATTTGGGTGGTGGATCATTCTCAGCACTAAGAATCACTGCAGTAACACTGACGTGGTGGTGGTGTGTTAGTGTGTGTTGCGCTGGTCTGAGTGGATCAGACACAGCAGTGCTGCTGGAGTTTTTAAACACCTCAGTGTCACTTCTGGACTGAGAATAGGAGTCCACCAACCAAAAATATCCAGCCAACAGTGTCCTGTGACCACTGATGAAGGACTAGAGGATGACCAACACAAACTGTGCAAAAACAGATGAGCTATCATCTCTGACTTTACATCTACAAGGTGGACTAACAAGGTAGGAGTGTCTAATAATTATATATATATATATATATATATATATATATATATATATATATATATATATATATATATATATATAATTTTTAAAAAAAATTTTTACTAGAACACCTCATTACATATCCTTGTTTCTACACTTACTGTCCATCATCTCCACTTACCATATAGTCGCAGTTGTATATAGTTGTAGTTGTACAATTACAGACTGTAGTCCATCGGTTTCTCTGCATACTTTGTTAGCCCCCTTTCACCCTGTTCTTCGGTGGTCAGGACCCCCACAGGATCACCACAGAGCAGGTATTATTTGGGTGGTGGATCAATCTCAGCACTGCAGTGACACTGATGTGGTGGTGGAGTGTTAGTGTGTGTTGTGAGACTGCATCCCTGTCCCTCATGGCCACATGTTGAGCAGTGAGATCCCTGTTTTGAAGTAAATGTGTCCCGAAAGCGGAAAATCCCGAAAATCGGTGTGGAACATTAAGAACAGCCACTACTGAAACACATATTTTCTGAAATTAAATAAACATTTTGTGTTTTATTAAAAATATTATGATTTTATATGATTATTACATTATTTTTTCCTTTAAACTATTCAAAGCTACGTTGCTAGTCATATACTGGCTAGTGTTTTGGACTATGTTGACAATATATTCCAGAAATGAAACAGAATGTATTGTTCAATTTTGCATGGGAGCACTGCTTTATGTCTGTTGAACATTTTAAAATATGTACATTTTAATATCTCCTGTCAGAAATCAGTCTGATTTCCAATGTAGTTCATGTATCACTCATTTATCTTCTCCTCCTCTCCATCCTCTGGAGAATCAGAGTATAGATTTGAGACGTTTCCATCCTTCCAGGTGACTATGATCTCTCCAGGCTTCGGTGCTTCTGTCTCACTGGCGCCCCCCATTGGCTCAGTGTTGTCTGTGTGATTGTCCTGCTTTGGGGCAGTGTGAGAGTTCATGTCATCCTTGGCGTGAGTGATGACCTGAAGCTCCTCCATCTCAAGTTTAGCGGAGGGAGAAGCTGCAGCAGCAGCTTTGTACTGGGCTATCTTCTTCCTGTTTCTGCAGTAGACAAGACAGTGAAGGTCAGAAAAGGACCGATTTTATGCACCTTTTGACCCTGGAAAGCCACTCAGACTTACTGCCTTCCTTAAAAACCCAGTATTTAGTGTTAGCCTGTTGTAACATCATTAAGTTTTTAATTGGAATACTGACCTGCTGCCCATCATGCCCATGACCAGGAATGCAGAACCCAACAGCAGAGCCACGAAAGACAAGGCCAGCATTGCCAAAATCCATGGTGTTGCTGTAAAAAAAGGGACACCATTTGTTGTTAGCATGCTGAACATTGGCTATCATTCTATAAACCGAATGCTAACTTTAAAAACTGTTGGGTGCCACTCATTACTATGCAAATGGACCCATGCTAATCCCCACCAGTTTCCATTCACTGTTAGCAATGGTAGCATTTCTGTGGTAGCTGTTTCTTTAATACCCATGTCATGAAAAACTGGGCCAAAAGACATTCAAACTCATTTTTCACAACTATACATTTCCTGTTTTAAGCCAATTACTGTATGTACAGTATTTCCACAATAGGTCATTTTAAAAACAATAGATAGAATATAGATTTATATCAGATTTTCAGTGGGTCAAAAGTTTACATACTCTTTTTTAGTATTTGGTGGCATTACCTTTTAATGGCTTGGCTCAAAGCAAATACTTTAGGGTAGCTTTTTTACCAGTTGCTCACAATGCTTTGCCAGAATTTTTCCCGTTCCTCCTGACAGAGCTAGTGTAACTTGCTCAGGTTTGCTTGGACACACTTTTCCAATACGTTCACTTTGTTGTCTTTAAGCCATTTTGTCACAACTTTGGAGGACTGCTTAGGATCACTGTCTTGCTGGAAGACCGTTGTGTTTAACTTTCTGGCTCATCCTCATTCCTCATGATGCCATCTATTTTTTGAAGTGCACAAGTAAGACTCCAAGACTCCCCTCACAACATGATGCTGCCATCGCCATGCTTCACAGTTGGGATGTCGTTTTTTGGATTAAAAGCCTCACCCTTATTCCTTCATGCATAGTACTGATCATTATGGCCAAAAAGTTTGTTTCATCTGACCAAAGAACGCTCCTCCAAAGGGCTAGGTCTTTGTCCTGGTGATCACCTGCAAAGGCCCTTAGATACAGCCACAGAGGCACTCCTAATAAACTCCTAATTATGACAAATAACCAATCAGAAGCTTCTAAAAGTCATTATATCAGTTTCTGGAATCTTCCAGGCTGTTTAAAGAGAGTCAACTTGGTGTGTGTAAACTTTTGACCCACTGGAAATCCAATATAATGAATTTAATGCTGCAATAAACATCTTGAAATAACCTCTGAAGTGAACAAAGTAGAAGCCCTAACTGACTTGCCAAAAGAAATGTGTGAAATTGAGAAAAAATTGAGTTTGAATCTCTTTAGCCTAAGTGTATGTAAACATTTGGCCTCAACTGTAAGTGAACCCCAAGGGAAAAATTGCCTGAATATGTGTAAAAGCACTTCACAATGGGAAATGAAGTTATATAAGCGTGTGAATACAGATAAAATGTTCAGACGCCACCGTTTATGGCAACTTTATGATGACTTTCATTTTTGCTAATGGTAATGCATGGCCTGTTATCTTTGGATTATGAGTCATGGGTAGGGTTGGTATGACTGTTTTAATGATAGGCAAGGGCCATGTAAACCTTTGCCAGATGTGCTTTGTCTCCCTCTCAGTATTGTGTTTCTGGATGTTTTCATGATTTAACTATAGATGTTACTTTTATTCATTTCCATGGAGCAAATTTGGGCAGAAAAAGCAACAAGTGTAATGATCCAGCATGGTCGTCATGCCTATTAC